TCAATAACATAATAAACGCCTATCTGCATTCCGCCATAGGGCCAGTTCCTTACACTAGTTTACATCTCTACTATATACAGTAGGAGGCGAATCGGGTGTCGCTAATTTTTTGGTTAACTTTTTTAAGGACTGCGAGTCAGCCTATGGCGTGTGTGGCTTGGCCGGATGAGTGTCGTAGGGAGGTACTCGGCTAGCAAGTCCTAACAATTTCTTGGAGCCTCCACCCTCTGCATTTTTGGCCGCGCATAGACAAATCAGAGGCGACAGCACGGACCCACATTTGGTGGTCGGAAGCATTCGACGCTTCTTAACCATGTTCATTTCCGATTTGCTCGATGTTTTTGACCAGGAGCGCCACGCGGCTCGCCGCACAAGCTGTGTGGCTGCCCAGTCTGGCGCCCAACGAGACGCGTCGAAAACACTGCACAGTCGACGGCATCTGGGAGCACCATTCCTTAACCCCGCAAATCGACGCTTCGCTTGACGACCATCCATTTCAGATCGTGACGCCATGGAGGCCGCAGCGAGCATCATCGCTGTGATCGAACTGTCCGCAAAAGTCGTATCTCTTTGCTTCCAGTACTCTGCCGCTGTCAAGAACGCCAGATCCGACGTCGAAAGACTGCAAGGAGAACTTGGGAGGTTGAGAACGACCCTGCAAGGTGCGCAGCGGCTTCGTGAGAGCCCAGACGGCAAGAGGCTTCAAACCTTGCAAGGCTTGTCGGATGGACTCAACGGTTGTTCTTCCCAGCTGTCACAACTGGAGAAGAAACTCAATCCTGGGCCTACGCGTAAGGTGATGAGAAAGTTCGGGCTTCGCGCTCTCAAGTGGCCCTTCGAGAGCAAAGAGATCGACAGTATTATCAACAACTTAGAACGGTATCGAGATACACTATCTGTAGGTCTCGCCATCGATGGAACGTAAGTTACAGCTGTATTTCTTCTTCAATTTCTTCAGTCTTATATAGATGTAGTACACAGCTCCTCCATATCGGCCAGAAACTTGTCCTTTCCAAGCTCCCGACCGCGAACGATGCAGCCTTCGATTCTCATGCGGACGAGCACGATGGGAGATGTCTCCCCGGCACCCGAGTTGAGCTCCAGCGGGAGATAATCGCATGGGCAGATGACCCGCAGGGCAAATGCATCTTCTGGCTGAAAGGTATGGCAGGAACCGGGAAGTCCACCATATCTCGCACAGTCGCGCAATCGTTTGCCAATAAAGGAGTTCTTGGTGCTAGCTTCTTCTTTAAGAGAGGCGAGCGAGACCGGGCCAACGCAGCTCTGCTGTTCCCAACCATTGCTTCTCAGCTTGTCGTCGAGGAGTCTTCTGTGGCAGCACACATCACAGCTGCCATCGATGCCGACCCACACGTCACAGATAAGCCTCTGGAAGAGCAGTTCGACAAGCTTGTTTTGGAGCCGCTGGGGAAGCTGAAAGGAGACCCGAGCAGAGTGAAGACTTTTGTACTCGTCCTTGATGCTCTCGACGAGTGCGGCAGGGATATGGACATCCGACTTATCATTTCCCTTCTGTCAAAGGCGAAGACCCTGAGCTCGGTGCGGTTGAGAGCTTTTGTGACGAGCAGACCTGAGCTACCGATTCGACTCGGCTTCGCCAAGATCGAAGGCGATTACCACGACCTGGTCTTGCACGAGGTCGCGCCGCCAATTATAGAACACGACATCGCAGCATTTCTGCGTTCCAAATTTGCAGAAATTCGAGATGACCACAACGCCTTATACGGTGGCAGCAGGCAAGAACTCCCGCTGGAATGGCCAGGTCCTGAGGTTGTCCACACTTTGGTCCAGATGGCCGTGCCGCTCTTCATTTTTGCAGCCACTGTGTGTCGTTTCATCCAGGAACCGGGGTGCGACCCCCGCCAACAGCTCGCCCAAGTCCTGCAATACCAGTCAAGGACCCACCAATCCGAGATCGACAAGCTCGACGCGACTTACCGCCCAGTCCTTGATCGATTGCTTGTGGGTTCTGAAGCGGCCAAAAGATCTGTTATGGCTAGATTTCGCGCTGTGGTGGGTTCGATTGTACTCCTCGTCGAACCGCTCTCGATCCGATTCTTGGCCCGGCTTCTTGAGATTCCGGAGGACGCCGTTTTTCACCACCTCCAGCCACTCCACTCTGTTCTTAGAGTACCTGCCTCTGCCGACTCTGAATCTCCCATCAGGACGTTCCACCTGTCATTCCGCGACTTCCTTGTTGATCCCGATAAGGCGAATGAGCAAGAGAAGTACCCATTCTGGGTTGACGAACGGAAAACCCACAAACGTCTGGCGGCTCGGTGTCTGGAGCTGCTATCGACAGAAACTAGACTCAAGAAAAACGTCTGTGGGCTTCGCCTGCCTGGGATACGCCGGTCTGAGATCGACCAAAAGATCATCAACACCAACCTGCCGCCCGACGTGCAGTACGCCTGTCGGTATTGGGTCTACCACTGGAAGGAGAGTAAGTGCTTGATACGGGACGGTGACCTTGTCGACCATTTCTTGAAGCGCCATCTCCTGCACTGGCTCGAAGTGCTGGGTCTTTTAGGCTGGATCTCGGAGAGTATCAGCATGGTAGATGACTTGCTGGGCTTGCTTGATATATGTTGCTGTTTTAGCTATTCTCTTAGATGGTATATTGACTTTTCTATAGCGAGAAGAAAGCGACAAAGTCTCGGCGTTTCTGTCTGATACCAGGCGGATCATTCGAAGTCATTGCTCTGTTCTCGATATATGGCCTCTTCAGGTCTACCATTCGGCTATCGTATTTGCGCCAACACGGAGCGTAGTCCGAAAGACATTCGAAGATCAATTTCCCGTATGGCTTGCTCTACTACCGAAAGTTAATCTAGATTGGGATACATGTATCCAAACGCTCGAGGGGCATAGCAAATGGGTTACGTCGGTTGCATTCTCCCACGATTCGAAGACGCTTGCATCAGCGTCAGATGACAAGACGGTCAAGCTCTGGGATACGGTAACGGGCGCCTGTACAGCAACACTCAAGGGGCATAGCGACCAGGTCAGCTCAGTCACATTCTCCCACGACTCGAAGATACTCGTATCAGCGTCGAGCGATAATACAGTCAAGCTCTGGGATACAGTAATAGGCGCCTGTACAGCAACACTCAAGGGGCATAGCGACTGGGTCAACTCAGTCGCATTCTCCCACGACTCGAAGACGCTTGCATCAGCGTCGTGGGACAAGACGGTCAAGCTCTGGGACGCGGCAACGGGCACCTGTACGGCAACACTCAAGGGGCATAGCCACCGGGTCAGCTCAGTTATATTCTCCCACGATTCGAAGACGCTCACGTCAGCGTCACACGACGAGACGGTCAAGCTCTGGGATACGGTAACAGGCGCCTGTACAGCAACACTCAAGAGGCATAGCGACTGGGTCAACTCAGTCGCATTCTCCCACGATTCGAAGACGCTTGCGTCGGCATCGTACGACAAGACGGTCAAGCTCTGGGATACGGTAATGGGCACCTGTACGGCAACACTCAAGGGGCATAGCAACCAGGTCAGCTCAGTCGCATTCTCCCACGACTCGAAGACGCTCGCATCAGCGTCGCACGACAAGACGGTCAAGCTCTGGGACGCGGCAACGGGCGCCTGCACGGCAACACTGGGGGTAGGCAGGGTAGTTAAATACCTCGCATTTGACACCACCGGTTTTTCTCTCCTCACAGACATCGGCGCTTTCACACTAAACAACCTGTCATTATCGCCAATGGCTTTGACAGATACGCCAGCGCTTGAAATGTCAAAGGCAATGTTAAAGGCAATGCCTAGTCCCCTACCGCAACACATCAACCGTTGGGGCATTGGCCTCAGCGAGGACAATGCATGGGTTATCTGGGGCTCGCACAAGGTCCTATGGTTGCCGCCAACATACCGACCAAAAGAATCGTGTACAACAGCGTCGACAGTGGCTATTGGGTGTGCTTCAGGACAAGTCTTGTTTTTAGCGTTCTCGTTCAGTCACAACCTTCTTATTTAGCTCATCATTCTTTATATAGGGTCGTTCCCGCTATAGCTAATTATCTCTTTCTTTTTCCCTCTTTACCTTTTGAGGGTCTAAGGGGCTACGCTGAATCTATATCCATTTGGTGGCGACTTGGAATGTTCCGGACCTCTGTACTATAAATACTGAGTAATCATTCGACTCTTCCTTGCCCGAGATCGGTGGTGTCACGACTCAAAGGGCCTGGAGTGAATGCGTCGGACGAGGAAAAGGTTATCTTCCGGGATCCGATCAGGTTTGGGCAGGCTCTAAAATTAGCCAACTGAGGACCGAAACCGAAGCCGCGGCGACCGACGCGGCTTGTTCTTCTAGTGGGCATTTCGGAGTGTTGTCTCTCCTGACGGATTCTCTGGACGGCGCGTATGGTGCATGAGGCTTTTGATGCTATTAGCTTCGTCTCAAATCCTTCCGTTAGCAAAGTTCTGATCAGAATACGTTGTGTAGCATCCAGTTGCGGCGCCATGATCGTAGTGGCATGTAAGCGCTAGGGATGGAAGAGGGGAAAGAAAGGACAGAAGGGGGAGAGGCAACCGCCAGTTATGGCTCTGTTAGGTATTGCTCCTGAAGTACTTCTCCGCTACAGGTGTATTTTGCAAAGCCATATCAGCCACAGGTCTACCCCGCAGTCCTTAAAATAGTTAACTAAGAAAACCAGCGACACCCAATTCGCCTTTTACTGTATAGCCCTCTCATCCTTCTTCTCCTTATAGAGTACCTGGATCCAGGCATATCGTAAGCATCCCGGCCTCATGTCACGAGCTAACCACCCAGGAGGCCCACAAGGACACCTTACAGCCAATCGTTTAAGCAACCAATCAGGAGGAAGTACAGTTGTCACTATTATCACCAGCGAAGGAAGTGATAATCGGAGGGTTCACCAGTATCACTAGTGAAGACAGTGATAATCAGGATTATCACCAGTGAAGGAGGTGAAACCGTCATGTATATATACTAGCTAGTTAGTCACTCGTTGAGGGAGTCTGGGACTTCCTCAGTAAGCAATACAACTCGTTCATTGCAACTTGCACGACGCTGTGAACATTGAGACCAGATCATTATCTTGTTGTGACCCTTTTGGCTTCACCGGATCACAACCCTTACGTCATACCTTCAGTGAACCCTTTCAGAGTGTGGTTGAGAGATGATCCGTCACATATTAGCTTAGGCATTTAGAGTAAAAGGGGTTAGTTTAGGGCCTGGGATATAGGGGAGAGGTACCGGCGGATTGGGGAGGGACGTAAGGTAGAAATCCGACGAAGCTATGATACAAAAGTAGGTACCTTGGTAAGGTAGTATACTAAAGTCGTTAGGCTTACTCGGAAATTTAAATTCAAAGGTTGAGAACTGAAGCGGAAATGCGATGGACCGTGGACGGGCAAAAGACGAAACAGTTGAGACCGCGTTGGGTCTCTAGATAACGGCTAAAAACCTCGACCTTCTCGGTGGCCGCCGAAGCGATCGGTGCTAGGTGAGAACAAATCGCCAGAGGATGGATTTGATTTGAAGAGGCTTTGGATTGATTTGGTTGATTTGAAATATGCCAATCAAATCAAACATCAATTTGATTTACTGGGAGCACTGTACCCATGCACCCCACTAGTCCTTGGACAAGTGCATTCTCCAGCGGTTAAGCACGCTAATTATCGGAGGCATCTCAAGGTTTAATGTAGAGGCGGGCATTTGGGACCGTAAGAAAAGCAATTGGGACCGTAGCCCCACCTTAACCCTAACCCCTGCGGCGGCATGCCCTACGGCCCAATGCCCTGCGTCGAAATGGGTGCGGTTAACCGTGGCGCCTGCAGGTCAGGGGTGAGCGGCTGTGAGTGCCGCGGTCGGCCACGCAACTCTGTGACGCGCTCAAACTCGTGATACTGTAGATACTGGTCTTCATCTACCAGGGACCGATCCAGCCACTAGTATGGATGGAAATTCTCCTTCTAAGTACCAGGTTCTCAGCTTGATGTCGACGATATAACTCGTGCCGACAGGGGATACCGAGTTGCTCAGTAAATCGACCAGGAAAGGGAGCAGGAGGCGAGCGGTCTGGGTTTATTGCGGACGGCAAAGCTCCTACTATATGACGACGCTCCTTGGTAACGAGGTTCATGGCCCGTAGCGCCACTGTGGTGGGTGTGTTACCGAGCGAAGCTTGCGCAAGGAAATCGCGGCGAAGGTGATTCTTCTGGGACTGACAAGCTTGCCGAATGCCCTCTTCCATCGACTTAACCATCTTGAGCGACTGTTCAACAACTTGTTTGACAGTACTGCTGCCCCGGATTAGAAAGCTCCTGAGATGCTTGTTAGCAGACTCGACTGCCGATGTAGTACGGTGGTCGAAATTGAGGTTGCGCCGCAACCCCTGTGTAGCAGGCGGCCTACTCTTGAATAACTGGTATATAAGTCTGCTCCAAGTAGCGAACAATTGCTGGCTGTGTGGCGAAGAAGGCCTGTAGCCGCTCCCACGCAGGATTGAAGTCGTCTGTTATGCTGGCATACAGCATGTGAATCCATAGCTTGTACAAGCCCGCGCGAGAGTATTCGACCGTCTCTGGCACAGGGCCAACCTCCTCGCCTTGCGTAGCCGTACGGTTGATCGTTTCCACGATACGGTCGTCGTCGCGTCGAAGTCGGGCACGCTGTTCAGGTTGCTTGGCTGGGCTTGTTGCTGGGCTTGCGAGATGGCGGCTGCGGCCTGTTTATCCCACTTTCTTCTAATATGTAGGATAACGTTCTTGTTGACGTGGAAGATACAGAGCTGCGGCTTCGCATCTGGAGAGACGCGGGCGATCGCGTTTCTCATTGCGGAATCAAAGTCGGTGATGGTAGCAAGTGGAGGGGTGGCGCCTATCTTCTGACGCAAGACGTTGACTTGGTCCATTAGCCAGCCAAAGCCCTCCTGCCGCTCGTTGTTGATCAGCCCGAATGCGCAGCTGAAGGTCTTGTTCAAACTTCCAAGGGTCTCTGGGTACTGTGGATGTAGGCGAACGGTGCTAGTTGTTGTTGTGCCTGTGGTGAAGATTGGAAGTCTAGTTGAGAAACTCATTTGTATTGCAACCCGAGTGTCAGAATACAAGTCGGCTTCAGATATAGCCCAGTTCCTTCAAGACCTCCAACTCCAACTTGTCCTTGTCCTCCTTTGTGAACGTCTGCGGAGCTTTGCAACCCTCTTTGCGCATCCAACCACGACGGATGTCTGAAGCCTTGCTGACCTGCTCCCTTGCGATCCACTTGGTCTGGACTTGCATGCCCACATTCCCCGTCATCATAACTGTCGCAAAAGACGAATCGTCGATTGCTGCAGCAATCGACCCCATTTTATACTGTGACACCGTGACAGTGTGTTCCGAATCACGGCTGGGCTTCAGTTTCTAAACAGCGGCTCCTTGACGAGCTTTTCCTCCTCTTTCATCTTCTCCTCATTTCTTACACATTGCATACTTGCTCCGCGAAAGCAAGGCCTCCTTCCAGTCACCATTTCCTCGGCGGCACAAGAAGCACTCGTCCCAGACTCGACGATCCTGTCCGGCATCTTGCACGATGTTGCCGCCGACAAGCTAGCCGAATGGACCGTCCTCCCCAACACGCTCACGACCTGCACATTCCGCATCCATGTCGAGACGGTCCGCCCCAGCTACCCCAGCGATCTCCTGATCCGACTCGAAGCAGCCTCTGGAAGTAACCTGGCTGCCCTGGCCGGCCTGCAGGCCCTTGCGCACGCCCAGCTGCCCCATCTCGTTCCCACAGTCCTGCATGTCGGCGCCGTGACGGATGCCGACGGGAGAGAGATGGAGGATTCCATTACGCCCTACTACACGGGGACAGCCACGCTCGAGGAGGTATGGGACACGCTCGGCCAGGATGACCAGCGTGGGGTGGTGGACGTTGTGGTTCGCGCAGTGGAGACGCTGCAGAAAGCAGTCTGTGGCCAGGTTGGTGGTCCGAAGCTTGGCTATTCTCCAGACGTTCAAGGATTTCTGCGCGGATTGCCGTTGCGCAATTGCTCGCTCTCCGAGGTTGCTGGGGGGGATCTAGTGCTATCGTCGATGTCCGCGGACATTGGCCAAGTCACCTTCAGCCCGTCCGACCTGGCGGACCTCAACCGGCACGTCGTCTTTTGCCACAATGACCTCGAACCCCGCAACATCTTCGTCCGGTCCGTGGCCGGCCGCTGCGAAGTGGCTGCCATCATCGACTGGGAAATGGCGGGCTTCTAACCCTTCGCCTACGAGGCCAGGGTCAAGGATTGCGTTCTTGGCCTCTCGAACCTATCGTTTGGCTGGTATTCCCTGTTTAGGGAGCGGATTGCCCATCCGCTGCCGGGGGGTGAGTGTCATGCAAAGCTGATGTAAGCGCTTGGCATCATCCACGATTCAGAGAAGAAGGTCAGCCTGGTAACACAGTGGTAAGAGTCCGCACTTCCCTGTGACCCATGCAGCCATGCTTGGCTGTCTATCCTGAAAGCTTCACTGCAATCAACTGACCACGGTCACTAGAACAATACCTCCTAACTCCTTTACCCATCATGGCGACCTGTCACCTAACTACAGCATAAGGACATCTGACGTGAAACACCCCACCCAACACAACACGTAGCCAACCTTTTGAATTTATCACATCCAGGGACAAAACATCCCCTCACTAACTGCTTAGTGCCAAAGATATAATATAGTTAACACAGCCAAACTCAGCAGAAAGCACAACATAAAAGCCACCACGCAGACCCATTCTGAAAGTTGATAAATAAATTTGATACACAACTACACACACACACACACACACAAGACACAGTCCTTCCTTCCTGTCTTGTCCAGCCCAGCCCTAACCCGACCCGGCCCGTAACGGAAGTGAGCTAAAGAGAGAAAAAAAATTCACCGAAGCAAGGAGAGATAGGGATGATGATGATGATGGCAAGAACACACGCCACGGCCCCCCCCTCAGGTCTTTTGGTACACAACCTCCCTCATCTCTTCATCCGGGGGAAAGAAGGGGTTTGGTTTCCCTTCACCTCTTCCGCTGCTTCTTCTTATTCGCCGCCCGGTCCTCCTCCTCAAACCCACTCTCCCTATCCCGCTTCTTGGCCTTGCGCTCCAGCTCATCCCAGTCCTCACCCTCCTCCTCATCACTCATCTCCGCCTCGTCACTCGCATCCGCTGACGCGTTCGAGTCGTAGTCCGAATCCTCCTCGCTCGACTCCGACGCCTCCTCCATCTCGCTCTCATCCATCTCGAAAGCGCTCTCCTCCTCTTCCTCTTCCGACCCGTCTTCGTCATCGGAATCGTTCTGCAGGAACCCCCACCCGCCGTCGACGAAGAACTGGTGCGGGTTGGCGGTCACCGTCTTCATGATGACCGACCAGTTGAGGTTGAGGGGACCCTCCGAGTACGCGAGGTCGGATGAGTCAAGGAACTCCTTAACGTCCTCGAGCGACTCAACAGGAATAGTGTTGATGTGCGCCGGGGGACGGGCGAAGTCTTTGAAGACGAAGACGAGATCGAAGTTTTTGAGGCCGAACTGGACGCGTTCTAGATGGGCCACCTCGATGTCGTCGAGGGTGATCACCATGAAGGGTGGTTCCGTGATCTGGATCAGGCACTCGGTCGTCGGCTGGATGTACACGTTGCTACGGTTGGGTACACCGTTGAAGCCGAGATCGCGCAGCGGCATGTCTACCTCGATGCCCTCGTTCCGACCGGCCTCGGCGATCTTCTCAGCGAAGCTCTTGAAGAGACGGTCGAGCTCAGCACGGCGGCGGCGTTCCTCTTGCTCCGCCTCGAACTCGTCCTCGTCGCCGTACCGGTACTTGCGCTTCCGGTTGCCGGTCTCGTCGAACTGGATATCCGTCGCTTCCCGGTAGAACTGCACATCCTTGGTCTTCTTCTTGCCGAACAGGATGGGGTCCTTCAGGTGCAGGTGGATGATGACGATCAGCTCGTTCTGGCACGGCTGGAAGAACAGATGTCGGACGTTGGAGAAGAGCACGTCGATCCGCTGCGTCGTGCTAAGGGGTGACTGGTATCGGATACCGTTCTGGTGTATCTCGACCTTGCCAGGCACCCGCTTGCCTTCCATCGCGGGCCGAATGAAGACGTTGTCCAAGACAGCCGGTCGTCGATCTGCAAATGCGTTAGTTCTTGGAATCCAAAACGGAGAGACGAACAGCCGGGGTAACTTACTCCTTATCTCGATCAGCTTGTCTTGCTCCACCACATCTTCCATATCCTTCTTCTCCTGCTCCTTCTTGACCGACTCGCGCTTCAGATTCGAGATCTGATTGGCAATATCGGCGTACCGGTCACCGTCCATGGACCGGAACGTCAGACTCCTGACGAAGTGCGCGGACGCGTCCTCAAATGGCTGGTCGTCCTTGCGGCCGACACCCTGGCCGGGAGACAGGAGATTGATGCGCAAGAAAGCCCATTCTCCTTCGTCGCTCTTGCTCGCGTTCTTGATCGTGTTGATGTGGAACGGCACGGGCCGACCCATGACGGGGAGAATGATGGTGTGGTTCTTCTGGTCGATGACGATGCCCAGATCCCGAACCTTAGGCGGGAACTGGTTGTCTCGCTTGTACGACTCGAAACGCTTGAACTTCTTGACCTCGACACCGTTCTTGTCCGCCGTCGACTCGGCGTACTTGCCGAGACCCTCCTTCTGCTTCCTGGCTGCGAGCTCCTTCTGATGCTCCTTGCGTCTCTTATCCGCATCGTCATCCAGAGAAGCATTCCTTTCGGAGCGCAGCCGTGTGCTAGTGATATTCTTAGTTGCCACAGCACCCACCCGCGAGTCTCGCTTCTCCTTCTTCGGCGTCGGCTGGGCCTCCTCATCATCCTTAAAGAAGAAGGACGAAGCGTCCGCGTCCGCTGGAGCCTCCCCGGTAAAGACGACCACCTCGTTGGTCGTGACTCGGATCGTGTCAGTAAGGACAAGCGAATAGACTTTGCTGTTCTTATCACGCGGGTCCGGGTTCTGGACATCGGTAAACCCTGTGGTAATGCAGAGGGTCATACCGTCCCGAAGCGTCCGCGAGTTCTTGCCGCTGAGCATCAGAGTCGGGTCCTTGGTCTCCAGGCCGATGCCGTAGCCAACATTCTTCAAGAAATGCTTCTCAAGCTCGGGCTTCCTGGACTTGATCAGGCTGTGCGCCTTGTTGTAAACCTCCTTGACCGCCACTCCATCCCGGATCTCCTTGAGAATCAGGCTGTGGACGGCAAGGAGAAACTTGTAGGTGCTTTCCTGGGACTTGTTCGGGTCGACCATGAATGTCCGCGCAATCTGCGAGCAGTAGGACTTGTACCGCAGTCCCATGGACGCAATGATAATTCCCGGGTGCAATGGTTGATCGTCCGAGTCTGACTGCCACTTTAGGTCGAACTTACCCCCGCTCTGCACAATAGGCCCGAGGGTCCAGTCGAGTTGCGAGGCATCAAAATCTGCAGGCATCTTCTGGCGGTTGGGGAGCTCGACGGATTTCCAGAACTTGGTATCGTCGAGCTTGCTGAATACCTTGTCGGAGAGTGTGCTGTGCTTGATCTTTTTGTCTTGGTCGAGAATATCAGACATTTCGTCGAGGAAGTACGAGGTCAGGAGCGCGACGCAGGCTTTGGATGAGGTGCGCATGGCGCGCAGTTCTGCCTCATCTTTGACGGAGAAAGCGCCGGCGGACAGAGCCTGGGCAATGTCGACCTCCTCCACATCCTTGCAGTTCTCGCTGAAATGCTTCTTCCATTCGTCGATGAACGGGCCTTTGGAGGTGTCCTTGGTGAGGACGCCCACTTTCTTCTGTAGCAATGCACGGTGGTCAGCGCAACGGAGCGCAACGGGGAAGCAGAAGCTATCTCAATAAGGTCTGACTCACGCCTGCTGCTTTGATGGCATCTGTAATCTTGACGAAAAGCTTCTCGTTCTCGGCGGCATCTTTGCCTCGTACGAGGACTTCGACGGGGAAGCGCCCTCCCTTGATTTGGTCGAGATACTTGGCTGCAACGCACGCGTGTCAATAACTCCCCGGAAACCATCGATCGCGGGACCCGAAGCCGGTAAAATCGCTAACCTTTCTTTTGTGTGGTGAGGATGTAGAGTGTGTCGAGCGTGAAAAGCATCAGCGTCGTTGGGAACTCGTAGCCGAGCAGCCAGAACTGCAAAACCCCCATAGATTAGCAACCAGCCCATTTTCTTGCCCACGCGAGCCAACTCGCAAAGCTCGGTATCGTCGCGTCGCCGGAAAGGACCAAAAACGTACATGCATCGCATTGTTCTTGAAGAACTCGGGCTCCTCATCGACCTTGCCCATCATAATCACGATGGACGAGGCGCCGGCGAAGAGCGCGTCGCCGCCGGTGCGCTTGTCGGCCTTCCATGTGGTCACGAAGTGCGACAGGCGCTCCTGAAAGGTCTTGCTGTCGATCTTGATGTCCCCCATGGTGGGCGACGGGGCGCAGTTCGCTGCGATTGACGATGGAAGAAAGCTCGATTCCCGATTCCCAACGGACGATGGATTGTGAAATTGAGGAAGGTTGGGGAATGGGTTTGGGGGCAGGAGTGAAAGAAAATGTGATGCGCTTTTGGCCTGCGGAAGGGATGCGCAGCGAGTAAAGCACCGCGATGGAGCTTCCAAAAGCAGGCGGAAAGATGGGACTAATGGGTTTCCAGGGGGGCCACAGGGCGGTGGCTAGTGCCAAAAAATTCCCGGGTTCACGCGTCGTTCACGTCACGGACGGGCTTTGTCGCGTCTGGGTGGGGCAGGTGCCTAAGTGGTTCCGTTGCTCGGCTGCAGATGGCGACCAGAGGCTGTAGTCGATCGTTCGTGCATGAAAAATGGCGGAAGGAAAAGAAATAAAGTAACGGTGCTGAAAAGAGCCGATTGAGGGTACCACTGCTCAATTGGAATGCACTTTTAGGCAAAATGTTGGAGGTTGTTTGTGCCGGTGTTGGTTCGAGTCTCGAGGCTGGCTTCTCAAAGAATCGAGACGAGAGCAAAAAAACAGTCGCGATCGGGAATATTGCACTTGGTTTACATGTTGGACATGTCCGCTTCTGAGGTTTCCTCCTCCCTGAGAAGGGGACTAGATATCAGCGGCAAGACTATCTTGTGGGCATGACGGGGTGAGGCTCCCCAACACTTATTCATATCCGGAACCATTCCTTTGTTTTCGAGTAACATGACGGATTCATTACACATTTTAACCACCTTGGAGGCCTATTCGCCTGGAGGAGAGTGGATGGCCCCTACGTCTTCTCTCTCTGTACATCCCCCAGTAATGGTGACGAATGTGTCCATTTTTATCGAGATGTTGACAGCAGCATCGAACAAAACAGCAAAGATGAAAAAAGAAAAAAAGAGACACCGCAATCACCGCAATGCCACCCTTGCGCCTTATAATCCCATATCCCAAGACAACTCTAGTAGTTGGAAAAACAAAAATACGTAAATCAAGAGCAAACCGATAGCACACGCTCACCCAGCACCTCATTGCTCATCTCATTTCTCCTGGTTCATACTTTGTTTGCACTCATTTATTGCCCCCCCCCCCCCCGCATCCCGTTCCTTTATGACGATCCGTGTCCCTGAGGCGCGGACGGCTGGTTCCACGACAAATAGGACGGATCGCCCAGCTTGCGCGGTTTCCACAAGAAGAAGGAGAGGATAAAGTAAACGTCGAGGATGAGGCAGATGCCACCGACAATCAAGAATATTATCCCCGGCCAAATGTTGCGCGAACCCATGGTAGAGATTGTGGTGATCACAAACGCCTTGCGACCGTTGTACTTGGTCGTGTCGAAGTTGTCCTCGATGTTGATCTGGTACTGGCCCTCCTTCATGGCGTCGTTGTCATTCTTCTGGTAGAGCTTGTAGAAGTTGGGCGCCGCGGCCAGCATCATCCAGTTCTGGAAGGCCTCGTCCTTGCTGAGATCCGGCGGCGGGTTATCCTTAGTGTATCCTTTCGGGTACCGCTTTTCCCAGTTCGGCGGCGGCACGATCTGGTCCAGGTTGTATTTTGTCGGTCCGTAGAGGTCCTTCATACCGCCCCAGGCGATCCCGGTGGTGCTCATCTTGTACGTCTCATTTGCGGCATTGGAGCCCGGGACGGACAGTAGGACGGGCGACGAGAACGTGTCATTGAAAATTGAATTGGCGACGAGACCGCACGGGTAGATGATCTTGCCGCTTCCCTTCGGATCGTGCGCAATGGGATCGCAGGTGGAGGCATTGATGGTGCCGCCATCGACGGCGTCGCCGAGTAGTTGTTTGGCGTTGAACGAGTTGACATAGCGACGGTGATTCTGGTAGAAGTTCTCTAGGTTGTAAAAGAAGCTGATGGTAGATTGGAGCTCTTCCGGAATGTTGAACTTGATGAGGCAGACCTGGCGGTCGTCCTCCTGCACACTCACGGTTTCCTTCATCCACTCGGCTTGGTAGGGGTCATAGTTGCTGTCGGTCTTGGAAAAGTGCGCGGTGATGTGCTCTTTTGGCAGCGGTTGGAACTTTCCGGTCGCAGCTGTCTGACAATCGGTGTAGTCGATCTTAAGGTCTCGGACCTGATGCGATAAAAAACATAGTTTGTCAGCCACCGAAGGTCAACCACAATGGAGGGATCGAGCTAGCACATACCGTATAAGCCAGATACGTCAGGTAGGCGCCGAATCCAAGGTAAATGGCAGCCAGGATCGAGAAAATGGTGACAATGAGTTTAGGCGTCAGCACACACTGCCAAGCGCGCATGCGCTGCTGGCGAAACGCTGTGTTGGGCGGGCGGTTCTTATGCGCATCCGTTTCTGAAGCGGCATCGTCGCCAGCATCGTCGGCGGCGCCACGGCGACGACGGGGCGCCATTATGGGTGAGAATCTGCGGTGGTCGTTGTTGTCGTCGGTCCCAAGGTCACAGGGTCCCGCTGTGTCTCGTCAAGGGGCCGGGAAGTTGTTAGAGAAAAGGAGCGCTTCGAAAGACACGGAGCCTTCGGGGGCTCGGCGGCGTAATGTGGCCCGTGCGTGGCTTGGCAAAGAGGCTGTGACAGGTCGCGCCGAGTTTGGCTGGCGAAAGTCACGGGGTTTGGCACGTGGGATTTGACTGGGTTCGTATTCCAAGAATATATTGGGGCAAAGCAAACGCTCTTACGTTGGAAATGGCTGCTAACTAGTTACGCTGCAAGGCTGCTGGTTTCTTTACAATGTACCTGAGCGACCGGGACATCCCTTTAGCTCTTTCTTGATACACACATGAGCATGTTTTGGGTATGTGGTGGTTTCGTCCCAGATATGAGGAGCTGTGTAACTCCAAGTTCGGCAAGCATCTTGAGCTCTCACAATCGCGACATGGCACAAGGCACAGGAAAACATGGATCGGCCACTAAAAAATGGTTGCAATAGTACAGAACGAAACGGTGGTGTGTAGCACACTCTCTCTTTGTTTGGTTTGTAGGTCGTCGTCGACGGCGTCGCGGGGGATTGTCACACGTCGCGAGGTTGTGCTATCGGCACCTCGCGCAGTCGATCTGCAAGAGAAGCCGCTTGAGAATGATCCAAAGGTTGACGCCCAACAAAACCCTGGCCGGCACTGGGTGGCAGCACATCAGCGCGCCAGATTGGGTGCTTTGCATTGCACCCGACGCACGAGCCCGGCTGAGCCCGGATAGAGTTAGGTGGCCCGGACCACTCCCGAGTCCGTGCATCTTCTAGAAACATTCGACGAAAACGAGCGGTCATGCCGAGCAGCAGATTGTGGAGAAGAGGGCGGGCCAGGGCCGGGTTGCAGAGGGGAGGGGAGGGGAAGCTGCGAGCTCGCCCGACACCCACAGTGCACGCACATGGCGAACTGGTCTCAATCATGCACGGCCGCTGATGAGAGAGCTTCTGGTAAATGGACCGACTTATTGGCTTCATGTGTCGCTGATGTTTGAAGGTGGGGAAAAATCTAAGGTTGCACATCACGAAGATCTCCCTTAAAAAAGCAATAGTAGGAGCAACTAGAGATTCGCTAGCTCTGTGGGACGGGGGGATCTCTCAAGCGCCTCATCAGCTTTTGGTCTTTTGAATTGTTGAGAGGAACGGCATTCAAGCAACGTGCGCCGACGGGAGACTCAGTACTGTATCGCAGCAACAGACACGGGAGAGCACCCCACTCATCAACTGGAACCAGACCTCTCCCTTTAAGCTTCATGCTCCCCGCCCTCTCGCCTTTTTGCTACCCAGCCGAGCCAGCGAAGGTATAGGTTCGCGAAGGCATTGTCATTCTCGTCGCCTCTTTCTCCCCGCCATCAGGCTCTCTTGTCCGCATCGACATCCCGCGCCTGACCTCCCTTTTGGTGATCGCCCGCGGGTCCCTTATTACTTATTTCCCTCCCGTCGCCTTCGCCCGGACAACCCACCGCCCATCGCCGATCTCTTCTGCACCCTACCGCAAATCGGAAAAGGGAGAGCGCAGTGCCGGCCTAATCTCGCACTTCATCTCATTCTTCCAGATCCGTCCTACACCAACAGTGGTTACCTCGCCCAGACTGCCCGCTTTCACCTGCGACTTGGGCATTTCACACTCATTTCCTCACCGTCCACCTCCTCGTTGTTTTGACCACAGCTCGAACTGTCCCGCAAGCCGCCAGACTCCCCCGCTTCGCCTCTCCTGTCCGCGACCCCCCGTGGAAACCTCGACGGAGCGGCAAGTGGGAGCCACCACTGAGCTATCTAGCCAGCCTTGTCTTTGTTTGCTGGCATCGCCTGAGTGGCAGCAACACACAGTGTAAGCCATCTGTTCAGCTGTTCTATCCCCCGCCCGTGCAACTTGAACGGAACATGTAGCCACAGTTTAAGCCGCGCGAAATGCTGGAGCGGCCCGACCCCCTTTGAACCTGCGTTGTCGGATGTACAATCATTTCCTGAACCGCGGTCCCTGCATTCCCCTGCTTCCAACATCTGTGCATATGCATGTTGCTGAACCCCATTCTGATGTCTTTCTGCTGCTGACACGGTCAACAAATAACTTGCAGCCTCCCTTTCGATATCACGGATTAAACAACAACGCCCATATCCCAGAACGCACTCGACGACTTTGTCCCGGGGTTGCCCTACTTCACGACAACAAGTGATTGGGTCCTGCCGCAATCTCGAGCCATCATCACGACAGCCTTGAATACCCACCAACATGTCGGGATCGGGCTTCACTAGCCCCTTTGGGGCGAACTCGAACCCCTTTGGCTCCGCGAGACTCGACACAGGGGGCAACGGTATGCAACGAGTGGCAGAAGAGGATGAGAACGATACCATCACCTCGCCCACGACACCAAATTTCGGCCAGGGAACGGGCAACGTGTTCAGGGGGCCATTCGGCAGCGATTCCTCGGAGACACAACAACATTCCAACCCGAGAGGGCCCCCGGTGGCCGAGGGGTACCCGGCTCAGTACAACTTTGGCCGTCGCACTTCGGTGTCGGCAGAGTCGCTCAAACCAGTTGGCGATAGCCTCGACAACTGGACGCCACCTGTACATTCCAAGACGCCGGACCAGCTGGCACGGCTGAAAAAGGCCATCAGCGGAAACTTTCTGTTCAGCCATCTCGATGATGAACAGGCCGCCCAGGTTCTGGGTGCTTTGCAAGAAAAGCCGATTCCCACCAAGGGGATCAAGGTGAATAACCCCTGAATGGTACCTAATCCAACAAAAAGGAGAAGTGATCTAACTTCGTGGATAGGTAATCATCCAAGGCGACGCAGGCGACTTCTTCTACGTCGTCGAGAAGGGCTCTTTCGACATCCACGTCAACAGCAGCGGAACACTACAGCCAGGGCCAGACGGGATGGGCCCCAAGGTTAGCACCATTGAGGCCGGTGGATCGTTTGGCGAGCTCGCGCTCATGTACAACGCGCCCCGCGCGGCCACCGTCATCTCGGCCGAGCCGCAATGCACGTTGTGGGCGCTGGACCGAGTAACCTTCCGGCGCATCCTGATGGAATCAACCTTTGCGCGCCGGCGCATGTACGAAGGCTTCCTCGAGGAGGTCCCGCTGCTATCTAGCTTGACACCCTATGAGCGGTCCAAGATCGCGGACGCCCTCGAGAGCCAAAAGTTCCCCGCCGGCTACACCATCATCCGCGAGGGCGACCCGGGCCACTCGTTCTACCTGCTCGAGTCGGGCGAGGCGGCCGCGTACCGCAGTGGTAGCGATGACGATAACACGCCTGTTAAGCACTACAAGAAGGGCGACTTCTTTGGTGAGCTTGCGCTGCTTAACGACGCACCGCGGGCCGCTAGTGTGATTAGTAAGTCGGAGGTTAAGGTTGCGAGACTCGGAAAGTCGGCTTTTCAGCGACTGCTTGGTCCTGTGGAGGGCATCATGCGCCGGACTAAGTATGTGGGTGTCAAGACTGGCGTTGAGGATATGGATCCCCTGCAGGCGCATTAGAACCACGTCGGAGCCACGGGATGAAAGGGGGAAGATACGGCATGGGAGATATGCCAAAAGGCAGGCATATGCTAAGAGGTGGAAGGAAGAGGGAGAGATATCTAAAGTCGAGATGTATGGTGGTTGGTGGCTGGAGATAGGTGGTGGGACGGGAAGTAGATGGAATTTGAAAGACGGATCTGGTCGGGGAGACCATATTCATGTATCATCTGGCGATGGAAGAGGGGATGAGATGAAGGAGGGTAAGGGGATTGCCAGAGTCGAACATAGCAAACTGGGGCTGCGGAGATTGGCGTTTTCGGAATTCCCCAGAGCTCGCTTCTCTTTTTTTGTTTTGTCTTTTTTTAGTTGTTTTCTTTCTGGATCTGTTTGGTACAGCGCAGAGTTGGCTGCTTGCCGTCATGCCACATGGTTTGGCAGAAAAGGATGCATCAGGACAGGTACAATTGCATGTGTTGGTGCTAGGTATGAGTGTGCAAATGTGAGTATGTAGTTCATTGTTTTGTGTGTTGCTTTGCATTCGTGATGGCCGTGGCCATGTGAGTGCGAAATGTACAATAACGCCCACGACTGTCTCAAGTGGTATCACTTTCCCTCCCACTTTTCACCTCCCGTCTAATTACTCTCACACCATATCATATCTCAGTCCATCTCTATCTCCTCACCCCATAATAGAACCCCCTTCTTCCAAACCCCCTATAGGGCCCCCAATAAACCCCCTCACCCCCTCCTCAACCCCTCAACAACCTCCCTCCTCACCCCCTCAACAGCCGCCTCCGTCTCCAACACCCGTCCCACCCCCCTTTGCCACGCCCCCGCCAACGACCCCATCTCCCCCGCCACCGCGTCCTGCGCCGCCCGCCGGTTAAGCGTCACCAAATCCACCTCGCGCTTCGCAGCCGCCAGCTCGGTTTCCAGCTGTCGTAGCTCGCCCGCGAGCTGCTCGTTGCCGATCAGCCAGGCGTTGCGGCCGTGCGTGTCGAGGAGGGCGAGGTGCGCGCGGCGGGAGGCAATGTAAGCGTGGGAGGTGTAGGCTTGGGAGAGGGCGGTTTGGAGGGAGGTTGTTGTTGTGTTGGGGGAGTTGGCGGCGGGTGGTTCGGGGGCTTCGTAGCGGGTGAAGTTGAGGGCGGAGAGTTTGGCGGTGGATGGGTCGGTGGAGGAGGAGAGGCGGGCGAGTTCGGCTGTGAGGAGGGGGGTGAGGAAGGGGGTTGGCGTTGGGGCTGGGGGGAGGTGGATGTGGTGCGGGTCGTCGGGGACGAGGGCGCGTTCTTCGGTGATGAGGGCTTCGGCCGCGGCGATGGCTTCTGGGGTTGGTTCGGGGTCGATGTCTATTTGGGGAGGAGGGTAAGTGGTTAGAGTCTGCGCCTGCGCCTGTATTTGGGGAGAGATAGGGAGAAGACTCACAAGGGAGTGACTGGTGGACGAAGTCGACAGGCATGATGGGCGAAGTGGTTGTGTGCTGTTTGTCGCGTTGCTACGACAATCGTGCTGGTTTACTTCGTGGATATGGGGCCCAATGATTGGGGTAGGGGTAGCTTGGGAGCTTGATCAATCGAGGTCGGTGTCGTGAGATCGGGAAGGTTCCTCGGGAGCAACGACGCTGTCGATTTTGGTCTGGTATGGGTGTTGTATTGGATGTATGTACCGTAACGGCCAGCGCAGGTGTTGAACGCGACAGAAAATCTGGGACCCACTTTGATCGAACGAAATGCTTGGCGGTGGGGCACCTGAGCGCTGCTGAATCGGGCAACTTCCAGGCTCATGACGGCTGCCAAGCCGTATCATATCGCAAGCCGCTGCCTGTTTCACAGAGGCGAGGACCACGCGACTTCCTTCGCAAGTGACCTTATGACCCCCCATTTCATTTTCCAGACTTTGAATTCTTCAAATATGGCTAGGTGAAGCCTTGGCCGATTCCATATTCTTCTTTCATTTCACATCCCGTGGAATTTCTAACACGGATATTAACATGGCCGACCGAGCAGAGCTGGCCGAGCCGTTGCTTGCTGGGGCTGGACCCGAAAAGGCCGATAACCTAACGATTCGATCCGACGATGAGTCTGGCGATGGGTTTCTCGTTGCGCCTCCTGACCAGGACTCTAAGTGGGAACGGGGATTGTACGCACCGCGGAAAACGTCCAGAGCTCCATCCCGTCGCCGACTGCTCATTTTTGGCTCAGCGCTCTTGGGGTTGCTGCTTCTCGGCTGCGGCGTAATCAGGGCGCTTGCTTGGGAAACCTCGGTTCGATGGGCAAACCAGTGGCTGCATCCCGACGGCCCGTCCCCGGGAACATCCTCTCTTGGCGACCAGTACCTTCTCGGTGTCGGAAAGGCGGATATCACGGGGCCTGTGGTCGAGGTTAACCTGATGGGCTACGCAGACCCCAACCAGATCGGCACCGGACTCCGACAGCGGATCTACTCGCGGGCCTTCATCATCGGAAGCGTCGACAAGCCCGAGGAGAGGTTTATTTACCTAGTGTTGGATACCCAGTCCGGCGACACCGCTGTCCGATATGGCATCCTCGACGGCCTCAAGGAGCTCGGGGCCTCGTACGCTGTGTACAACCACCACAATGTTGCCGTTACCGGGACCCACTCGCACTCCGGACCTGCCGGATGGCTCAACTATTTACTTCCTCAGATCACCAGCAAAGGCTTCAACAGTCAGGGGTACCGCGCTATCGTCGACGGTGCTCTGCTGTCGATCCGCAGGGCTCACGAGAGCCTCCAGCCGGGGTACCTGAGCGTTGGGACTACCAAAGTGCACGGTGCCAACATTAACCGCAGCCTTTTTGCCTATCTAGCCAACCCCGCGGAGGAGCGGGCGAGGTACAATGTCAGCGCGGACGACGATGGGTCCGTTGAGAAGGACTTGACCCTCCTCAAATTCCAGCGGGCCTCAGATTCGAAAAACATCGGCGTCCTTACTTGGTTTCCCACGCATGGCACATCTCTCCTAGGAAACAACACGCTCGTCGCAGGCGACAACAAGGGCGTTGCGGCCTATTTGTTTGAACAGAGCGCCCGGCAGGACCCGACGGCAGCCGAGGGCTTCGTAGCCGGGTTCTCCCAGGCCAACGTGGGGGATACCAGCCCTAACGTTCTTGGAGCCTGGTGTGAAGATGGTTCCGGGGAAATGTGCAGTTTTGAGAACAGCACCTGCAGCGATGGCAAATCCCAGGCTTGCCACGCCCGCGGACCGCACTTCCGGGTCGATAACACCGGCCAAAGCTCCTGCTTCGAGGTCGGAAAGCGGCAGTTTGAGCCAGCTCGTGCCCTCTATAACCAACTCCAACGGAACCCAACCTCTATCCAAGGAGGCGCGGTCAAGTCCTTTCACACGTTCCATAACATGTCTGGGTTCTCGTTCCTCCTGCCAAATGGTTCCGTGGCCCGTACATGCCCTGCCGCACTTGGCTACTCGTTCGCAGCGGGTACCTCGGATGGGCCGGGGGCTTTCGATTTTACACAGCACAACGGCAACGAGAACACCACATCCCCAGTTTGGAAAGTTGTTTCTCGCCTGTTGAAAGATGCAACACCCGAGCAACGAGCTTGCCACGGCCTCAAGCCGATCCTCCTCGACGTTGGAGAGATCCACAAACCGTACGACTGGACCCCCAACGTCGTGGACGTCCAAGCCTTCCGCGTCGGTCAGCTCTTCATCGTCGTCAGTCCCGGCGAAGCGACCACCATGTCCGGGCGACGCTGGAAAAATGCCGTGGCCGATGCCTCGGCCGCCCTCTTTCATAACCCTTCTTCGTCTGCTGCTTCGCCCGTCATCGTCCTCGGCGGACCCGCGAACAGCTACACGCACTACATCGCCACCGAGGAAGAATATTCCATCCAGCGGTACGAAGGCGCCTCGACGCTCTACGGCCCACACACTCTCGCGGCGTACATCAACGTGACGCTAGCGCACCTTCACCACCTGGACGCCGATGCACCACCGCCCCCGCCGCACGACGAGGCCGGGATATTCCCGCCGGACAACTCGGGCCGGTCGCTGTCCTTCATCTCGCCGGTCGTGTATGACGGGACCCCGCTGATGAAAGGGTTTGGTGACGTCGTGACGGATGTGGAACGGGTGTATCGTCGGCGCAACGGGGGCGGGGTGGCCGTCAAGGCGGTGTTTGTTGGTGCAAATCCGAGGAATAATTTACGGCTGGAGGGCACGTTTGCCGCGGTGGAGAAGCTGAGCCTTTTGAATGGTGACGGGCAGGAAGTGAGCGCGGCCGGTAGCAGCAACAACCCCAATTCATGGACCGAGTCAGAATCTCAGTCGTCAGTGTGGAAGAGGGTGCGGGACGATGCGGATTGGGCACTGGTGTATCACTGGCGGCGGACGAACGAGATTTTGGGCACGAGTGAGGTGGAGATTGTGTGGGAACCGGAGGACTGGGCGGAACAGGGCGTGTATCGGATTCGGTATTATGGTGATGCGAAGGGGTTGTCGGGGGATATTACTGCTTTTGAGGGGGCTACTTTGCCGTTTACTTTGGTGTAGGTGATCTTATGACGGGATGATGGGATGATGGGACAAGGGGAAGGGGGAAGGGGAAGTGGGCATATTGATATCTTGAGAGGCGTTATGAATTATGGCTATTTTTATTGTTTTCATTACAGTTATTTTGCTGCTTTTGATACTTTGCGTGTTGGGTAGGAGGTGTCTCGGAACAAGATGCAACTATTGGAGTCTCGCCGTAATGGTACTCTGTTTTATATCCGTATGGTAACCGACTGAGTGTAATAAATACCTACGTACTAACCTGTCAGACACACACAACACCCTTTTTTGGCCGGTCACCCTTAGATATGGTAAACACATTGCGCCCATAGTACAATAGAAGTAAGCAACCACTCATGATCTCACATACATTTTTTGCCCTTTTTCGTCAAATCTGACCGCTTCGATCTCGTCGTTGGGCAAAAGATTCCCAATTGGGAGCTCCCCTGTTACCCCACTTCGTGACGCAACCCCAGGGCTGAAGAACCCCTGCCCAGGGAAACCCCCCTCCCCTCCTTCCCCAAGGCGCTGCCCAAGCCCAAGGTTGCCCTGCCTCGACACAGCCCACACTCCCTTCAAAGGATATATTGGCATGCTGCACGCCGGGGATTTAAGCTTGAGCTCTGAGGTCGAGATTTGTTCAGCTGAATCCACGACGCCGTTGTCATCATCCTTTTTTACTCACATCTTCCAACTCTTGATCCTTTGCCCCTTCCCCGCGAATCCCGGATTGTTCGGAGTAAGCGGGGTCTGAACAAACAAGAGGATTGATTATACCTTACGGATTACGAGCTGCAGGATACACACTTGTGTATTCGCCCAGTGCCTGCTTCAGCTTTCCCCACACACGAGGGCCCGTCTCTCTCGCCCGAATATTCTCACGATAATTCCGGCCCAAACCGAACCAATTCCTTGAAACTTGACGGAACACCCAAGTCCATCAACAACAAACACCGCTGCGTGCTATCCGCCCACAATGGAGTCCTTCCAACTCCTCCGGCGCCGCACCACGGAGCTCTTCAGCTCCCTGGAGCAGTCCATCCCCGCCATGCCAGCCATCCCCTCAATGCCGGCCATGCCCTCTCTCCCGTCTGTCCCTTCGCTTGGCGGGGGCGGTAACAAGTCCAACAACGCCAACACTATGAAAGCCACCTGGGAGAAACTGGACATCCCCCACCTCCCACGGTCTGCGCACTCGGCTGATGTCGTTGCGGGTACTGTGTATCTCTTTGGCGGTGAGATCACCCCGGGCCGGGTCGTGGCTGACAACGACGTGCACGCCGTCAAACTGCCGTCTAGCGGTGCGCCGGCGGATTACTATGCTATCAAGGCCAAGCCGGCGAAGAAGCCGGTGGTTATCCCGACTGTGGTTGAGCCCACCCCGGAGACAGAAGAGGAGGAACTATCTGAAATTCCCTTGGGTGGTCCTGCTCCTGCCACGACGGCTGCTACTACTACTTCTACTCCCGCCACACCCCGGCCCCCCCGTACAGACCTCCCTGATGTCCCGCCCCCGCGTGCGGGCCACGCAACAGCCGTCATCGGCCACCGGATCTTCCTCTTCGGCGGACACACCAACGGAACCAACGGGGGCTCAACCGTCCCCCTCGACGAAGGCGGCCGAGTCTGGGTTTTCGACACCCGCACGCACCTCTGGTCCTTCCTCGACCCGCAGTCTCCGACCGCCGCGGTAGAAGAAATCCACCCATCCCCGCGCAGCCACCACGCAGCGGTAGCCACGGCGAAGCCAGATTCTTTCGACAGTATCACCTCGCCGACATCTCCCAAGTTCCGGGCTCGCCCGCATGCCTCGTCCCGCGCGGAGGCGTGGCGTGATTGGGCTTTGGGTACGTCGGCGGAGGCGGAGCAGACGTATGGCACGCCGAACCGGCCGGTGGTCGGGGTGTTAGCGGAGAAGGCGACGGATGCGGATGCGGATGGGTATGGGACGATTATTATCCATGGGGGGGTTTTGGCGCCTGCTGCTGTTGCTGCTGTTAGTAAGCCGGCTGTGGGGAAGAAGGTGGAGGATGATGAGGACGACGACGACGAGGAGGATGATAGTGAGGAGGATGAGGACGATGATGAGGATGATGATGACGATGAGGAGGATGATAGTGAGGAAGATGATGATGAGGATGATGAAGACGACAGCGATGACAGTGACGAAGATGAGGAGTCGGAGGATGAAGCTCCCAAGAAGAACAACAACAAGGGCAAAGCGAAAGCAGAACCCAAGCCAACCCCAGCATCAACCTCTGCTTCCAAGCCGGCCTCCGCACCAGCCCCCGCACCCGTACAAACCACGGCTGAGACCTGGGCCTTTGATGTGCGGTCACGCGTCTGGCAGCGTCTGCCTGATGCCCCGGCTCCGGCGCGCGCGGGTGTCTCGCTGGCGATTGGCCGTGGGAAGGGAGGACGGCTGTACCGCTTTGGCGGGTTTACCGGGAGCACTCCCGGCAACAGCAGCACCGCCAGTGGGAATCTCGATTTCCTTGACCTCGGCGTGGACGTCTTCGACGACCAGGTCACGGGTGGCCGGGGCACCGAGGCAGTGTTGGCCGTGCGAGGGGGCGGGTGGAAGACGCTGGGCGTGTCTCTCGGACCGCAAGCAGGATTCGGGTTTAGCACGGTAAACGAAGAAGCGGGAGAAACTCAGGGACTCCAACTGCAACCAGGGGCAACCCCGGGCAACAACGACATCGACTGGCCCGGCGCCCGCAGTGTAGCCGGTTTCCAAGCCGTCAGCGTCGGCGGCGGGCGCGAATACCTCGTCCTCCTCTTTGGCGCACGCGAGTCATCTTCCCCTGCTGGTACCACTACCAGCACTGCCAGCGCCCAGTTCTGGGACGATATCTGGGCCCTCCAAGTCCCCTCAGAAGGTTTCTCCCTCGCCAGCGTAGCCGACACCGCCTTCTCCGTAGTCCGCACCGTCCGCAGTGGCAGTCTCAGTTCCCGACCCGGCACAGCCACTTCTGTGGCCACTGCTAGCACTACGACTAACACTAGTTATGCGCCCTCTGCTTCCACCGCCGCCGGTTCTACCGCTACTACCGCCACTGCAGCTACTACGGGTACTGTTGGGACGAACGCAACGATCAGTGCTGTTGACCTGGGTCTGACGTGGACGAGGGTGGAGGCGGGCCCGCATGATGAAGAGGACGATGAGTCGGCTGAGGGGCCGGAGGCGAGGGGGTGGGTGGCGAGTGCGGCGACGTTGGAGGAGAATGGGTTGGTTGTGTTTGGGGGGTTGGGGGAGGGAGGAAGGCGGTTGGGGGATGGGTGGGTTTTGCGGTTGGGTTGATCTTTTTTGGATCTCTTACTTTGTTCGTTTTTCGGTTGCTTGTGTTTTTTTTTTCATTTTTGCCTCGTCCCATCTGTCCTTTTTCCTCTTCCCATCCGGCTCCCCCCCATCACTCCAACACAAGCCTTCCTCGTCTACCCCCCTCTATTCTATTCACCCTTGGCGACGGTGCAAATAGAGAGGATGCGCAACCTTGGCGCAGGCGGGCTTGTTACGACAAGACGTGTGGGGAAATCGGGCCTGGCTAATATGGATGCGCGGATGAGGAAAGGCCGAAGGCGACGGGAACAGCCAGTCAAAGAGAACCGAAATAAATGGAAGAGAGGGGTTTTGGATTACTTTGATTTGTTCTGATTTACTTTCTTGCTTTCTTTTTTGGTATGGTATGGTAACTTGGTATATGGGCAAGCAAAAAGATGACGAAGAAAAATAAAATGATAGGCGGGAATGGGTTTGATTGAATAGTCAAGGAATCGAATCGAGAAAGAATCTATTTTGTCTACTTGATGGCCTGCCTTGCCTGGGGGCGGGTTGGGCTGGGTTGTTGTTGGGTGGGTAGGTGGGTGGTAGTCGCAACTTTCTACCTTTTTGTCTGTCTGTCTGCGTTGTCCTTCGTTCATTGCTTGCCTCACAGTCTGCTTGTCAAAAGCGGGAGCCGTATTGTATTCGGCCCGTTCGTCTTGTCATGGGGGGCGGTGTTGGGCCGTCGGGCTGTTGTTGTTGTTCACTTGCGCACCTGGTCCCGGCGCCGCGCGCTTCTATTGTTGCGCGCAAATACAGAGTGCATACTATGATGGTACACGGGCGAGGGATACATGTAAAGAGGGTTTCGTTTTTGTAGATCACCCCGGCGAGTTTTATCCCCGCTATAGCGTTAGTTTGTCATCTTGGTTCTTATTTGCTTTCCTTTTCCTTCCCTTTTCCATTCCGGTTCCGTAGTAGTAGCAATACTATGTACCTATGCTACTACGACTGACTCCGACCCTACTCTACAAATCACTCCTCGTCTTCTCCACCCCCCACGGCTCACTCGTCAAATTCGTCACGCCCGCGCTATTCTCGCACGTATCCCTTCCACTCAACGGGCCCGGCTTCGGCACCGCCGCTGCGTTAGTCTTAGACTTGCCCACGGCTGTCACGCTCTCCTTGAGCGCCGTCAACAGCGACTTGGTGGTCTCGGGGGTCAGGTCCTCGTAGTAGTCGTCGTTGATCTGCACCATGGGGGCGTTGACGCAGGCGCCCAGGCATTCTACTTCGATGAAGGTGAAGAGGCCGTCCTTTGTGGTCTCGCCTTGTTTGATGCCCAGGTGCTCTTTGATGGCTTTGACGATGGCGTCGCTGCCGCAGCCGCCGAGTTGGCAGGGTGTCTGGGGGGAGAGTCAGTGGTTGTTTGGGATTGTTATGCTTGCTTCTCTGCTGTCCCGAAATCTGTATCTCCCTATCTCTTCTCTCTGCCGGCTCCTCCGTTTACCAGTCCCATGTAGAGCAGTGCAACTTGAAACAGGAAAAAAGATTCGTACCGTCGTGCAAGCCTGGACGTGGAACTTGCCCACGGGTGTGCGGTTGTACATGGTGTAGAACGAGGCGACCTCGTACACGCGCATCGGGGGCATCTCGAGGATGCGGGCGACCTCGTTCATGACGCTGATGCTGGTGAAGCCGTGCTGGCGCTGGCCGAGGTCGAGAAGCGGCATGACGGCGGCCTTCTTGTACTGCGGCGGGTAGCGCTTGAGGACCTCGGTGATGATGGCCTCATTCTGCTCGGTGAACTTGAACGGGATGTCGGGGTTGTTGTCGGGTGTATTGCGATGCTATTCCAAGGAGGGGGAGATATCTTAGGTCAACTTTTACTCTCTTGTTTTTTTGTCTTTGTTTCCCTCAGCTCTCCCACCACACTCCCGCCAGTCTGTGTACCCGTCCCCCAGAGTAGTTCGGACTAAACTCACCACCATGAGGGTGTCGCTCTGTTTCCGCATCGACAGCGAGAATGCGCGGGTTTGGGGCGCAAGTGGCCGCGCAGCCCGGCTTGCCGACCGGACGGCGGTCCGCATGAGGAAGGGGGCCAGCTTGCTCGTCATGGTTGCGAGCAGCGTCGGGCAATGGGCGGCGTCAAATCGTTTCGGCGGCGTCGCAATGGCTGGCCCGGCTTGGGAGGAGGGGGGGGGGCTAAACTCAGGTCGTTGAGTTTCCAATCCGTATGGAGCTTCGTTGAATCGACGCCGCAGGGGGTGCACAGACCAGCTTGCTCTGACAAATAATGCGGTTTGATTGGTTGCCAAGCTTGTCGAGCTTGGTGCTTTGCTCCGCTATGCGCATATCAGGGCATTTCATCTACACGGTACATGATCATGCGATAACTCAATGCGTGCATGCTCTTCTTGCTTGATGCCCCACGTGCCCTCCTAACTGATCACTTCCTTACCGGGCGTGGAAGCTGGTGCTTCCATTCCTTTTCCAAACCTTCCATTCTGAGAATCCACCACACCAACCCCAGGATCCCAGGATCCCAGGATCCCAGGTTCCCAGGTTCAAAGCCAGGCCATACTGTAAATTGTGCATTTCTTCATGTGGAGAGTAATGCGACGGGAGCCTCTCGACCAGAGAAACCTCCCAGCTGGATGAAGGCTAGCTTGGACTCGAAACTTTAACTATTCAGTGCGATCCCGCAACCATGGTCCGACGTTACTGTGTGGCGCACGACTACCGTGTAGGCGCTGTCGGCAGACGCTAGACTGCACATTATACCTCCGGTACTGTAGTACGAAGTCAGGCTACCCGTCGCGCGACATCGCATCCCGCTTCGGGCATCTCATCACATCGACACTCATGATTGCTCAACGACCTGCATGTTATTAAACACCGGCGCATCGGCGTTTCCACGCCTTGGCCGGCGACGTTCCCTCCGGTATCCGGGCCGAGCCCTGCCACGCTGCCACGCTGTCGGCGCCCTCGTCCTTCGAAGAAGCGGTGGAACATTTTGGAAACATGATCACCGGCACCCAGATCGACCTCGATGAGGAAACTGATTTTCACTAGGGGGGGTTGTGGGCGTCAAGGCACGGCCTCTGAGTTCCGGGTTTTCAGCATCCTCCTCTTCGCTTATTCCTCATCAATGCGACGCCGGGTCTCCCGCCCCCCAGACTCGTCCGGCCTGTCATGCTCGCTGCCCACCAGTGTCCACCTTGAACCACCCTGATATTGTGGATGATATGCGTGATGTTCACCAGGTTTCCTGCGTTGTTCCCGAGCCGCCGTCCACGTTTGGCGCCAGGCTCCTCTCGGCCTCCCGAAGCAACCAGCCCGCCAACCCGTCCAGTGCCCCCCTCGACGGAGCCCGCCAGCCGGCCAAACGGGTTGGACGGCACGGTATTTCGACATCGGATCGACATCTCAGCCCACCACTCCGGGAAGGTTGGCGAGGATGGGTGCCGTTCCCCAGCCGGCTCAATTGGGAAAGCTTCCGGGGAAGTGCTGTTTTGGGGCGTTTTTGGGTTCGCATTACCCGCCCCTAGCCAGGGGGTCGTCCACTGCCAGGACAACTAGAAACTGCCTAATATCTGTCGAGGCTGGGCGCGGGCGGCATTGCTAGCATGGGGTACATTCGCACGCTATTTTTTACTGCCGCCCAACACGCCTTGGGAGATGTTGAGAGCCTCTCATTCCACCGCAATCCCTCCCGTCCCCCAGACGCAATATCCACTTGCAGTCTATCTGAATAGATTACCTCCCCTCCCATTTCTGCACCAAGAAACCTGGGGACCCCCCCGCCCACCAACAACACGGGTTACGCAACTGGCCTCCGGGACCGCAGCCCAGTGTCACTGCTTCATTCTTGTGGAGTCGTGGAAGCCGTGAAGTCGGCGTCGAATCGTGGGGCCTACGGGTCGGTCGTCTCGAGCCGTCCCCCCCCGCCCACATTTGTCACGATGGCTCGCAAGATCAAGGATACCGTCATGTTCTAATATGCGTGCCGGTCTTGGTAGTGTTCGGGATGCCTTAGAGAGTGACAGACACTCGGTGCCATCTCGGGCCCATCAGCCGGAATGTGAGTGCGTGGGTGCCGGGGCGTCGCATGCCATGCCGCGCATCAAATGCCTTGCCCCCCTTTTTTCTTCCCTCTCCCATGTCTCCCCATCTGCCCATGTTGTAGTTGTGGATGTTCCTAGTAGTTGATCGTTACTGGGGGTTGCCGGGGTAGATAGCTCCCCTTTCGTGTGTATAAATATCCCGCCAGGTCCTCCATCTCGAAAACCCCCCCCCCCCTTGATGGTCCGTCTTTGTCACCACCACTCCCAACAAACACACCGTTTCTACCACCCACACACAACAGAGAACCGCCCACCATGAAGTTCTCCGTCCTCTCGTCTCTCCTGGCCGCGGCCGTCTCGGTCGAGGGCCACGCCATCTTCCAAAAGGTGTCGGTCAACGGCGCCGACCAGGGCTCGCTGACCGCGCTGCGGGCCCCCAACAACAACAACCCCGTGCAGGACGTCACCAGCTCCGACATGATCTGCGGCCAGTCCGGCTCGACCTCCCAGACCGTGCTCGAGGTCAAGGCCGGCGACAAGATCGGCGCCTGGTACCAGCACGTCATCGGCGGCGAGCAGTTCCCCGGCGACGAGGACAACCCGATCGCTAAGTCCCACAAGGGCCCCGTCATGGCTTACCTGGCTAAGGTGGACAATGCCGCCAGCTCGGACAAGGCTGGTCTTAAGTGGTATGTCTTGTTCTACCCTAGTTATCACCATTATCTTCCTCAATGTCATCATGGTTATAACTGTCTAACACAATACACCACAACAGGTTCAAGATCTGGGAAGACACCTTCGACACCGGCAGCCGCACCTGGGGCGTCGACAACCTTCTCGCCAACAACGGCTGGGTCTACTTCAACCTCCCCTCCTGCGTCGCCGACGGCCAGTACCTGCTCCGCGTCGAGGTCCTCGCCCTGCACTCCGCCAGCAAGCCCGGTCAGGCCCAGTTCTACCAGTCCTGCGCCCAGATCAACCTCTCCGGTGGCGGCTCGACCAGCCCCTCCCAGACTGTCAGCTTCCCGGGAGCTTACTCTGCTGATGAGCCTGCTATTCTTACTAGCATTTATGGCTCGACTGGTGCCCCTGATAATGATGGCAAGCCGTACACTGCTCCGGGCCCGTCGCCTATTTCTTGCTAAGCGGTTTTTTGGTTTTTTTTTGAGCCGGGGGGTTTTTGGTTGGGGGAACGGTGGAGATGGTGACGATGGGATGTCGGTGGGGGCATGGACTGGATGATGGGAGGAAGGAAAGAAAGAGGAAGGGAAGATATCAATGCCGCATGCATCGTGGCGTTGTGTGGGAGGGAAGAAAGGCCGGTTGATCGATCGGTTTGATCTGGTCGGTCAGTCGGCCGGTTCTTTTGGCTTGAGCGCAGTCATTTGTGTCTTGTGCAAAGTGTGATATCTTGGGTTCTCATAGCATCTATCGATGATGTGCAGAACCCCAATAAATAAACCATTATCAGCATGCTGTGCTCTTGATCTTCATTTTTGTTACAAGACAATCACGAGTGGGTTCTCGGTACGTCGCGCGCAATTGTGTACTTGTAGTCGTAGATTAGAACGGGGTTGGACGGCGGAACGGTCATGAGTTTGGTCGTTGGGTAACTCATTAAAGTGGCCCGCGGTATCGTCAAACTCCTTAAGGATATCCAGATGTACTTGAGCGGTCTTTTGTAGCTCTCTTATACACGTCTTCCTTATTTCTCGCTGTGTCATCAGCCTGATTGTTCTTTGGAAAAACAAACCCTACCCTAGTAAATTGTTTCTCTGAGAGCTGAAACCTGGGCGATAACCGCGATATTATGACACCAGCACAGCTGTCAAAGACATCCAAAGTCACCCTGCTATTCCCTTTTCGTGCCCCCAGGAACGCGCGTGTGTGGGTTCCACATGAGAAGATGGTCGTCTCAATCGGGAATCACGGCATGCTCTGACTGGAGCGCGGGAGGTGAGAAATATATGGAGCTCCAGTGGAGTGATCGGAAATAACTGTTTTTGTCTCGAGGTTTTTTCTTGAAAGAACTGATGAAACTCGTCTCGTCGGCCGCTGCATTTACGCGACAGGCACCGCCAGGTCGTCGTGACTGTGGTTCCCATCGGTTGGGGTGTTGTCCCATACTGGGCCAAGAAAAACCCTAACGTACGGAAAATCCCCATGGGGTGTTTCGGGCTCTTTTCGTTCACCCTTGAGGATCATCGCCATATTGTCTCGCAGGTTGTGCCACGCTCACACCGAGCGGGCTTCAAAACGCGGCGCCGACGACGGATGCTTCTGCAGCAGCGTTTTTGTTACTCTTTCTTTTTTCTCTCATCTTGTTCGTCCTCCCATGGCCGCATGACATCTGCATGCTGGTAACGGTAATCCGTACCACCGCTACCCGGAAAGGAACATATGCTTGCCATGCTGAGGTGATTGAGACTGTCTGCCTGCCCGGCCAACGCCTCAAGGACAGCGACAACAGGCGCGACGGGGCCCCAAGCGCGAAGCGCGAGGTGTGTGGTTGATCCAAGCACCCGGGGAATTTGGTTGCCGTGTGAGAGAGCTCGGAATTGGCCCCAGAGTGATCAGTGATTCCGTGCAAGGGCGCCCTTCTTTCGCTCATTTCACGGGCCTTTTTTGTCCGATACCAGGTATCGTCCCCACAATGTGGCGACAGGCTAGCCTGGAATGGGAATCAAGGTCACCCGCGCTTGCTCCCAATCCCGAAGCTCACTTGCTGACACCCACCCATGGATGGGAGTTGGTGAAAGAATTGACCTCTCTATGGAACGAACCCCAATTCAAGTGGAAAAGCCTGGGGGAAGCGTCATTTTTCTGCCCATTGCACGCAGACGGGATGCCCGTTCATCATTGTGCAGGACTCTAGCCCGGTAGTTGATGGAGCGTTCATGCATGTTCGCAGGCTGCAGGCCGTTGAAACCTTGCGAGTCGTGCTGCTGACCGAGAACGCCTGGGGTTCACCATCACAGCCGAGGCGAGCCCCCCACTCTCCCACCGCCTGCCCCAAGCTTCCTGTCGGGGGCGGTCTGATCTCGAAATTCGCGCAGTGGCAGAAAAGTCCTGCCCGTGCCGCCAGCCCGGCCAAGCTTTCTTGTTTCTGCCGATGGACCCACAGGAGTTATTTTGTTTCTCGTCTTCCCACCCGCGCTCTCGACTCTTTGCTTTCATTTCCCTTCCCTCTCCAACCTCACTTGACCTTCACGCCTGAACGGACACTTGTGTCGCCCAATTCCGATCCCAATTGGCCCCGTCGTCCTTCAATTCCACCAACGTCTTGTGTTGTTCACCCCGTCTTCTTATCACCCATCCAACGTCCCGAGTACCGCGTTCGCGCCGCTCTCGCGAAAGCTATCTTCATCACCTTCCATCACCCTCTCCACAGTAAAACCGCGAAAACAAAATGTAAGCATATTTCTCCTAATCAATTGGTCCATCTCGAGGTGGTTTTCAGAGGTTCCTTCGCATCGAACGCCATCTTCCAGCGCCCTGCCGGATCTCTCGGCCAGCCGCAGAACTGAAGCTTCAGCGACATGACGGATGCCAAGGATGCCGCTTCCAGCCGGGATTGTTGCGCTCCTTGCAGCGCAGCACGCGCCCAACCTCCCCGAAACCTTTCATCCACAGCATCTGTGCGGCCAATCACCAAAAACTGCTAGTTTTGCTCCTAGGCGTACAAAGCCATTGTCATCTGCCCATTTCCTCGATTGATCCGATCAATTCTTATTCGACCGAAAGCTTCAATTGCCAGAATTCCAGTTGCTAATTCAGATCAAACCGACAGCAATACCGTTGCAATGGCCGCCATCAGCCCTCCCGTTGTCGCTCGCGACTCCTTCACCCAGCTCGCCAAGCGTGGCACCGACTGGCCCGCCAAGAACGCGGGTGTCATGGTCGTCTTCTGCGTCGTCTTTGTCGTCGCCGTCGGTCTTCTGTCGCTCTTCATCTACAAGAAGGCGCTCGCCCGCCGTGAGAAGAGCCAATCGCAGGTCTAAATCTCGAAGGGGATTTGTTACTCCATGTCACATCAGCCTCTTAATTCGCCGAAAGATAGTTAGGATGGAAGACATGGGGAGGTGGGCCGGCTAGTCCGGGATCAGGCAATGAAGTAATGATTTGTCGTGGGATGGGGGCGGGCGCTTTGTTCTGGGAGGCTGAAAGCGCTGTTTGGAGGGTTCCCTGGCCTGCTCGGCGGGAGGGTTCTCAAGGGAAGGAAGGAAGAAAGGCGGGTTTGACGACAACAAAGCGGCGTGCTTCCAGACCTGGATCGACGGGTGGAGTTGCCACAACAATCACCACATCGACAACTTTTTCGCGCATTTTCTCGCAACAGCTCCTCACAAATCCTTCTGTCAATGTCCGCCACTATTGAATCAGCCTTGCGGCTTGGAAGAGTCACCTGCTTTGGGACAATTGGAACGGATGGGTACAGATATGTAAGGGGTGCTGCTGCAACTTGCCGCGTCGATGTCGGCACTGCGTCCACTCATCAGGTCCCAGCAACCCCGTTTGTATCTCAACCCGGAGATATTTTCACGCAGCATAGGCCAGACCTCATCAACCATATACGCGAGTGTCTCGGCCAGCTGATTTTACTATACATTTCACTTTTCTAATACAACTTGATACCTTCACTGATCAAAAACCTTGCCATTTCCCTGACTCGATGTATCTTTTGAAACTGTGCCATTCCCAAAGAGTCAATCCCAATTGATCTCGCTGCAAAACCCGGCCGGGGATCAATCGGCATATTATTCAGATGCCGCGGCGTTTCCTCGGACTCGGCGGAGCTGCAGGATGAAAGAATATTACTCGCTTTCTCGCTTTTCCGCGGCACTAACACTCCGGGAATACCACACTCCGTAAAATACCGCAATCGGTCGGCCTTTGGCATTTATTTCACTCGCAAGTTGTTTGTCACTTTCTAGTCTGAAGCCAACTCGAGTCTTTTGCTAACGCCCGGCGACAACCCGCCAAGAAAAAACCTGGGCGAAAATCTGGGGTAGGGCCATTGGCAGTTCATGAATTATCGATCGATCGCTTGGAAAAAATCGCCGCTTTCGGCTTTTGCTTTTAGCAGGATCTCTTGGCTGCTTGGCGTTGGACCCTGTTTCTCGATGAAGTCCATAGTGATGGGGAGGTGAAATGGGGGGTATATTCTTGGCCTGATTTACGTTTTTTTTTTTTTTTTTTTTTTTTTTTTTTGCTAGGGGTTCCTTTCTTTTCTTCTTGCTTTCGGTTTAATACCACGATTCGACAGCCATGGTGGACGTTGTAAACAACGTACAGATGTAACACGGCTGGCATGTGTAATGCGGTGGAGCTGCAACGGGGCGCCAACTACCGAGTACAACGGTTGTGCAGGCGGAATGGGCCGTCGGTGTTATGGACGTAGTGACCGGTGGTTTACACAGTCGAGGAAGGTTTAAATCCCGCCTTTGGATCACTAGCCGGTGTTTACGCCTTATAGGGTCCTAAAACTGATCCTCATCGTACGGCCACTTCGAAGCACACGGGATCTAGTTTGTTGGCTTAGTCTCGCAGACGGGATACAGGAAGACCTTGTCCCGTAGCAAGAATCGTATTTGTTACAGGTCTCGTTATTCTTGATGACAGGGACTCGGAAGCTATAGTTGACCTTTTAACTTGACCTGTTAGGTGTAGAGTTCTGGCTTTTCGAGGTGGATGAGACCATTGGCGGGCTGTATTGTATTAGCGACGATGAGAATGCCGTTAGGAAAAGAATGAAGAGGAATGAACTCACCGGGACAAACTGCCTCAACCGCACCCCCGCCTCCTGGAACACCGCCGCGGTCTGATCATCCATACTATACCCCTGATTATACACCACCTCCTCCACCCCAACCTGCACAATCTTGATACTACACGTCAAGCACGGGCACGTATCACAATACAACACCGCGCCCTGCCTCAACCTCTCCCTCCCCGCCTCTAACAACGCATTCTCCTCCGCATGAATACACAAACACGTCGCCAGCCCATGTCCCGACCCCGTCCCGCCCGCATTACACCGCCCACACCCACCATCCCCACAGTTCCGCAACCCGCGCGGCGTGCCGTTGTACCCCGTCGACACCACCCGTCCGTCGCGCACTACTACACACCCCACGCGCCGCTTCATGCAGTTGCTGCGCTGCGCGGCGAGCGAGGCGAGAGCCATGAAATAGGTGTCCCAGGAGGGGCGCAGGCGGTTGGGGTCGAGCAGGTCGAGCTTGCCGAGGGTGGCGTAGAGGTCGGCGAGGGAGGGGGAGGTGTTGAGGAGGCGGATGGAGGCACGCGAGAGGAGGGGGTGGGCACCTTTGGAGGGGTCGAAGAGTTGCTGGTCGGAGAGGGCCGCAAAGCGTTCGAAGCTGTCGACGACGAACCGGGTGGGTGGCGTGCCGGGGAGGTTCGTCGGGAAGGGAGAGACGGAGGCTAGGTATCCTTCGCCTGCGTTGCGCCGGATGAGATAGCGCTGCCAGCGGACGGTCAAGGGCGCATCGACGCTGATGAGGAGGAAGAAGGGCCGGCGGGCGTAGAGGTCGAGGACGGCCTCGGATGGGAGGGCGGTGGTCACCCAGCGCTTGTTCCAGTGCGCGGTGACAAATTCTAGAAGGGCCTCGGGGGTGGAAAAGGTGTGTTGTGGAGGGGTCGTGTCCTCGGGGGTGTTGTTTGGGGTGCTCTCTGGGGTGCTGACGCCGTCCTTGCTTTGGGAGTTGTTTTCCTCGCTAGGGATTTGGACGTATGTCGCGGTGTAGGCACTCGGCTCGAGGTAAAGCTGGGTGAAACCATGATGGGCCACCAAGTACCGGGCGATTGTCCGCTTTCCCGCGCAAATACCTAGCATAAACTTGTCAACTCTGGAAATGGAGTACAAGAAAAGGGAAAGTTAGAAGGGGAATGTACTGCCGCAAATGCCGATAAACATGGCTGATTATGCCCCTTGCTTGCTATGCCAAATTTTATGCCTTGGCTGTATTTTACAGAATAGTCCAAAGAACGTTCAGATGCAACAGGTAATCTGCGGCTTTCATGAGCAAGCGACTGTCGGGCAAAAAAAAAAAAGAAAGACAAAAAAGACACATGCCAAAATTAAATCAGTGGATGAAGCCCAACGCGTTCCTGCAGCAATTTACGCGTCAAAAGCGGAAAGCCCAGCGCGAGGGGCATCTTGCATGGTTTCTTTAACATTCAGCTTTAAACTCGCCTACCCATGTTAGAGAATGCAAACATAAAGCTCAAGATCACCGCTGGTAGAAGCCGTCTCAGTGGGCAAACTTCACCAAAATTAAAGGCTTGAGGCAACCATTACGTCGCTTCTCTTTTGGTTAATTATTTCTGGGCTCAAGTTGTTGCCGCTATCTCTGGTGCGAGGACAAAGCTGCTTAAAGTGACTGTGCGTGTTCAAGGCCAAGAGCGGGGCACAGCGGTCCCCCCACTAACCTCCCGAGGAGGCGGCACGGCTGCCTTGCTCCCAACACCAAGAACCTCGATCTGAGAATGGACCCTGTGACACATATTGGTCATCCAAGCAGACAACAGCTGACCAGTAGCGCAAAGTCCCACACAACTGTCGACATCTCTTGCTCTCTGATCCGCTGCCTCTCACGCTCTTGATTAATCCTTCTTGAACAACTGGTCCTGGAGCTATATTTTTGAACATAACACCACATCCCTTCCCGTGAATATCGAAGTCCTCGTCTCGCATGACGTTACCCATATCATCTCGCAGTCCCTAAACTATATCTTCCCCCCCCCAGCCTAACCACGCCCAACCTTCCCACAACTTCCATTTCAAACCAAATTCAGCTCGCAACAACCACAAAACCGACAAGCCCATCACAACGATCCACATCCACGCGCTTAATCATCCTGATGTCCGGTCTCAAATATGTGCCTTTCTCTTCGGAGATTGAGCTGCCGTTCTATTCGGCCCTCTTTTCCTCTAAACTTGAACACGATAAACTCGATTCCTCGGCGCGGTCGGTAACAGGCCTCTATGAACCCCGCCCGCAGGCGGGGCAAGACGCAGGCGCGAGGGTGCAGATTCTCGGCAACGCACTCACAAACCGGGAGTAAGTTCAGATCGATCCCGTAAACTCGGTTCCGGGTATCCGGTGCAACGGTGTTGTTGACTTGGGATGATACAGTGTGCCTGCGGGGATGAGCCGCGCCAAGGGCTACATCAAGAACGTCAACACGATCGAGGAGTTCAAGAACACCGACAAGAGTGCTATGATCACAGATGCTGGTCGCCAGGTAGGCACCTCTTGATTCACAAGCCATCATCTTAACACTCCGGCCCACCTACCTAACCCGCTGTTTTGTCATGTGGAAACATACGCTGTGTTAGTGCTAGCTGCTAACACTTTGAACAGATTTGGGAAGCCATTCAAGATGGTACAATTTACTCGGTGCCCTCACTCCTTTCGTCATTTGCCATTCTTTCATATGCGGATCTCAAGAAATACCGATTCACTTATTGGTTTGCCTTCCCCGCACTTCACTCAGAGTCCACCTGGAAGCAACATGGATCAACCGGACACTTCACCTCGTCAGAAAGCACTGCCCTGGTTGATGCGGTAGGGACCTGGCGGTATGTCGTCAGTACAGAGGGCGAGCATGGCTTCTTTCTTGCCAAGAAGGTTTATGGTGCCGGCAGCCCCTCAAAGCTTCAGGCGGACGACGAGGTAGAGGATATTGGGTATCACTGGCAGATTGGGGCGCTCCGGGATTTTGAGAACGGCTTCTTCACAGGCGTTGCTGAAAAGGACCAATATGTCGCCTTTGTGGATCCATCGAACTACGCCGATTCGCCTTCGTGGCCGCTCCGAAATCTCCTGGTTCTTATCAAGCAAAGATACCGTCTCAATAAGGTCCAGATTCTATGTTACCGCGACACCCAGGCCAGGAGACACGAGGCCCGCAGCATTGTCCTCTCACTGGCCACCGACTCTGACAGCACCGAGGTTGCCACCAAGATGCCCAATGTCACCGGCTGGGAGCGAGACCCGAGTGGGAAGCTTAAGGCGCGTCTGGCAAATCTCAACGAGTACATGGACCCCACACGCCTGGCCGACCAGGCGGTTGACCTCAACCTCAAACTCATGAAATGGCGTCTGGCTCCGAACCTTGACCTGGACACCATCAAAGGCACAAAGTGTCTCTTGCTCGGCGCGGGAACCCTGGGGAGCTACGTTTCCAGGAACCTCATGGGCTGGGGTGTGCGCAAGATCACGTTTGTCGACTACGGTTCGGTCTCTTACTCAAATCCTGTGCGCCAGCCGCTGTTCCTATTTGACGACTGCGCCAATGGAGGGAAGCCCAAGGCCCTTCGTGCGGCCGAAGCTCTTAAAGAGATCTACCCGGGCGTGGACGCTGAGGGCCATGTCCTCTCTGTGCCGATGCTTGGTCATCCCGTCTTGGACGAGCAGAAGGTAAAGGCAGATTTCACCAAGCTACAGAAGCTTGTGGATGATCACGACGTCATCTTTCTCCTCATGGATACCCGCGAGTCGAGGTGGCTGCCGACACTGATGGGCAAGGCCTCGAACAAGATCGTCATGAACGCGGCGCTGGGGTTCGATACATATGTGGTGATGCGCCATGGCGCAGCCCCAGAGGACGGCAGCGAGGATACACTGGGTTGTTACTTTTGCAACGATGTGGTCGTTGCCGCAGACGTAAGTCCTACCTATTAACAAGCCAACAGTGACAACCCAACCAAAGCTAACACATACTCCCACCTACCCCCAGTCCATGAAAGACCAAACCCTCGACCAACAATGCACCGTAACCCGCCCCGGCGTAGCAGCCATCGCCTCCGCCCTCCTAGTAGAGCTCCTAACCAGCATCCTCCAACACCCACAAAAACACAACGCGCCCGCCCCCACCCCGCACACCACCGTCGGCAGCACCCAACAACACGCCGACCGCGACCCGCCGGACCACCCACTCGGTCTCGTCCCCCACCAGATCCGCGGCTTCCTAGCCAGCTTCCAGAACATGGTCATCCACGGCCGGTCGTACCCGCAGTGCAGCGCGTGCAGCCGGCCGATTGTTTCGGCGTATCGTGAGGAAGGGTGGGAGTTTGTGAAGAGGGCGCTGGCGAGTCGGGATTATGTGGCGGAGTTGAGTGGGTTGGCGGAGGTGCAGCGGAAGGCGGAGGAGGCGGCGGCGCAGGTGGAGTGGAGTGAGGAGGAGGAGGGTTTGGAGGAGGAGGGGGAGGGGGTTTTGATTTGAGGGGGGGGCTGGTGATGAGGTTTGGTGAGGAATTTGGTGATGGGGTTGGTGATGGGGATTGCAATGGGTTTTGCAATGGGTTCAACAACAGGGTATACAATCGGCTATACAATGGGTTTCCCAATGATCTTCTTGCCACTGGGATGGATTATGTAGTTGGCTTTGGGGTTAGCCATGGGTTTGGCAATGAGCTTGATCAGACAGTTCACAATGGGGTTGACGATGAGTTTGGCGTTGAGTTTTGCAGTGAGTTTTTCGATGGCTTAGACGACGGCTTCGGCAATGGAACTGACAATGAGATGGACGATCGGGTTTATTATGAATTTTGCAATGAGTTTTATCATGGGATTGCTCTTGGGGGTTATCACAAGTCGGCGATGGGTTTCTCGATGAGTTCGACAACGGCGTTTATCTTGCCTTTGCTTGGTATTTTTACACACTTTTCCTCCGGGACTTTTTACCCTTCGTATTTTGATAGGGTCTCGAGCTGTAACTTAGATATTGCTCACATCTGTGAATTATACCATCACTACTCGCTATGTGAACTTACGGTTAAACCTGCTTAGTCTCGATCACAGGTACCTTGTAATCTGGCTGAAGTTCCCAACTCTCTCGCTCCGGCTTCGGCCCACGACATGACGTCTTCAACAACAAATAATATTGTTCCCCCTCCCAATTAATAAACACCATGTTTACCAATTGCGTAGTGTACGTACTCGTTACACCCACCCCCTCGTCACACCCAACCAAACTCAGGACCACAGACCTGGGAAGCCCCCCCCTTTCAAGCCACCTTCCCAAATCAGAGCTAAGTCTGACCAACCAACCATTCCAGTCACGGGAGGGAGGGATAGGCGGTAGGGCTGGCTGGCTGGCTGGCATCCCATCATCAAACCCAGAGCAGCGGGACCAAATCGTCACAGAAACGTCCCACCAATCCGGGTGGTCCAACGGCCCTGGGAAAGACGGATGTTTGCCGAGCGGGTGGCCAACCGACCAAAGTGGGGGATCGATCCAAGGGAGTGGGAGCTGGTTGGGGCGCACAAAGTCCATGCAAGCAGTGTGAGATTGGATCGGGAGGGGATGGGGATGGTGGCTTGATTGGTGTGCGAGGCTGGAGTTGACTCCGGGCTGTTGACGAATTGACTTCCAACGCCCGAAACGCATCGGGGTCCGGTTTGTTGGAATATCTTCTTACACTTGCAGCAGCATGGAAGTTGTCCTTCACGAAGTAACGTTGTCTTAGTTGGGGAGCAGCCGCGTTTCATCGGGCTGCGCAAATAACAAAGTAGTCGGTCCTATGAGGCTACTTGAATTTGCCCATGGTTGTCTCAACTGGTCTGCATTTCTAGTAGTATTTTCTCAATAAGACAGGCACTCCGCCGGAAGTGGCCAAACTCATGAGAAACATCAGGTCAGGGTTTGGGATTGTCTTTATGCATGCACCGGAACCAACTGCCCCGCGGAATATCGGGAAATTAGGGTGCTGAATGAGAGAGGGCAAATGGAAAAAAGAAAACCAAAAAGCTCACTACCCACCCGGGACAGCTACGAAAACCTGTAACAGGTTTTGCTCCGAGCGCCCCAGACAGGAATCGAACCTGGCGGGCGAGAGTAGAGGGCAACGTGTTGCCCATGCCCCCCAACTGCGCTATTCGGCGGTTTGGGAGCTGCTAATTGGGGAGGCGTTGGAAGGAGCTGCGCAGAATCTGTTGATAAAGGGCTGGTGTTGTGGGATAGAACGGAGGAAGGAGCGGTGGTGGTCTAAGGCGTTGAAGGTGTGAAAGTTACGTGGTACAGTACAGCCAAGGGCGTGAAAGGCTTGGTAAAATACAGGCGGTGAGAAGCGGCAAATAATGTCTCCCAGAAAACTGGGCCAAATTATTTTCTGGCTGCAACATCCCAGCAACAGTCTTCACCTGCAACCTCCAACCCAATTGACCACCAACCATGGCCCAGGGCGCGGTAAAAAAGACACCCAAGCCTAACCCTGGCGGGAAGGGCGGGAAGGCAGGCGGCAAACAACAGGCGAAAAAAAGCGGTGTTGCCAAGGTCAAAAAGTCAAAGAGCACAGCCGACAAGATCCAGAAGAAGTACACCGCGGGGATGGTCGCCCGGACCGAGCAGATGCTGGGCGAGCGCGCAGGGCACTTGGAGTTGATCGGGAAGGGGAGGAAGAAGGGCTCGGAGAAGGAGTTCAAGGGCGGCAGCCGCAAGTTTGGTTAGGTCCGGTCGACGATATGGGGAGCGAATGGGTTATGGACGGATACGTCGCTGTATTGGGTGCGACAAGTACGGATTTTGTGATCAACAGCCGAGCGAGGACGCATTTTCAGTTGAACACCTGTGGGAGGACACCACACTACCGGCCCTCCGCAATATCCGTCAACACCTCCCTCACGACGACCGCATCCCTCTCGACATCGACCCGCCAGCTCCCCACGGCCAAACGAACCGCTTTCTTTCCATCCCACTTCGTCCCGCTCACAAACATCTTGCCCGTCGCATTGATGCGATCCACTAGTACCTCGTTCAGCGCATCCTCCTTCGCCCGGAACAACACCACAATAAACACGCTCTCTAACGACGCCTCCGCACTGGGCAGCCACTCGTAGTGTTCCGAGTCGCGCACATACGCGGCAATCTCCCGCGCGAGGAGGGCCATACGGCTGAGCATGGCGGAGATGCCTGGCCTGCCTTCGCTTAGGAGCACGGCATACACCGGTAGGGCGCGGAAACGGCGGGAGTTTTCGAGGCCGACGTTGAGCGGGCTGAGAATGGCGTTGGGGTTGCTGCCGGGGGACGATGCGAGGTATGCGGCGTTGGGATTTCTGCAGACCTGCGTGAGGATGGAGGCATCCCGGCAGAGGAAGATGCCGTTGTCATAGGGCTGGGGGATATTGTTAGAACCAAAACAGGAGTCCCGGAAAAAATATCCATGATATCATACCACGTTCAAGAGTTTGTGTCCGTCAGCTGCAATGCTGTCGGCCAGTTCCAACCCTGCAACCTGTGCATGTAGACCTAGGAACTGGTCCGTCTTCGGTAGAGCCCGGGCGAAAAGGCCGAATGCTAAAGACACCCGAAAACATCAGTACCACAACCAACGCCGGGGTGTAAATCCTTGACCATGAAAAAGGGAGAGGAAGAAGAAGAAAAAAGAGACATACCCCCATCAACATGTATCCAAGCCCCATACCGATCCGCCAAACTCCTCAACTTCGGCATATCCAACACATTCGTCGCAAACCGCCCCGTATTCACCTCCCCAGCGCTCACCACCACAATGCTGACCCACCCTTCCTTCTCGCCTAGCGCTAGTTCCCTCTCCACCGCATCCAGGTCCAGCCTCCACGGTTCCCCCTCCGCGGCCATCCCAACCTCCTTGACGCTGTTCTGCCCCAGCCCGACTACGCTGGCCGCTTTGCTGAGCGAGGAGTGGCCCATGCTGGTCAGCACTTGGATGTGCCAGACGCCGGCGAGTTGACAGGCTGCAAGGAGGCCGAGTTCGGCGACAGAGGCTTTGGGGGTAGGCCCCTTATTTTTGAGGTGGGCAAATCGTGCTCGTGCTCGTGCGGCTATGACGGCTTCGCGCCCGCAGGCGAGGCCAAGGATGTTGCTTGCTGTTGCGCCGGTGGTGAAGGTCTTGCCGGGCCACCGTTGTTGCTTTGCAGGTGGCGAGGTTGACGGTGTGACCGGTTCTTCCTTTTCGTTGGGCTGGCTATCATCATCTCCTTTCTCCTCATCGTGGTCATGATCAGGGTGATGAGGATCCAACTCCAACACCGACACCAACATCCCCAACGCCGCATCCTCCACCGCCGTACACACCGAATGCACCCATCTCTCCTTTCCCTCCTGCCCCTCTCCCGAGGACTCTTCAACCTGCGAAGACGTACCACCCGGCACAGGAAAATGTACCTGCACGTTCTGGTCCAATGCCGTCACCAGATTGTCGGCCGCCTCGGCCACGGGCAACACACCGCCTGTGACAAAGCCGAAGTAACGTGACGACAGGCCCTGGTGGTTGAGCGCGGGCAGGATAGAGGTGAGCAGGTGCGCGTGGGTTTCCGCGGGACCTAGGGGTTGGAGGTAAGAAGGAGAGGATGGAGTGGGCAGGGAGGAGAGAGCGGCGGTGATAGTTTGGATGGAGGGGAGGATGGGGATGGTTAATTTGGCCGTCTCTGTAGAAGAGGTGGTGGTGGTGGCCTGTCGGAGGCGGGTGTAGGCTTGGAGGAGGAAGTCGGACTCGGATCCGGAGTTAGGGTCGAGGTGGGCGATTGGAGTGAGGGGTATCTCGCTTGGGGTTTGTTGGTGTGCCATAGTGTGTTTACACTATTTTGGGCGGGACGGGTGGCTTTCAGTGTAGTGTCTGTCGCGAGGCGTTCGCCGTTGAGTTCACCGAAATGACACGGAGCTCATCAATTTCGTTAATCGGCACTGCCTGTTGTGCACCCAAGCCTTCGGGTAGCGGCCTCGGCGATCCGCGCGGGAGGATCACCCGCTCGAATCTTGAGTGAATTCCGGCCCGTGACGGACTGACAAGGCACCCCTGGGCGATTTACGGCAGTACGGATGTAGTATTCCTCCTGTGCCTTGAGGTTGACAATTGACATGTCCTGGGCCTATCGGCCATAAAAATCACACCGGAACCTGCTGGTCGGAGGCAGACTGAAAAGGAAGGTGACTTTGGTACCTATATTTCCTCTGCTGCAATGCCAACTGGCTCTTGGCTCATCGGTTGAGGTGGTGATGGATTTCCAGAAAGAAAAAATGCCACGGTCCCGAAACGGTGGACAGCCCCATCCTTTCCCCCTCACTTGTGGGCGAATGCAAACAGAAATTAGGGCATCAAACATTGGAAAATCCCGCCATTCTCGACGCGAGACAAATGCACGGAACCGGAAGAAGAGAGGTCCTCTCTCCGCTAGGGTGACAGTGGCTGCGTCTTTCCCCACATCCGGGCAGCCGGTGAACGGTGTTGAGCGCCCCCTTCAACGTCGTGGTTCATGGCGTCCTGTGGTGCAACCTTTCGGTGTGCACGAATCACTCGTGGCCTCTCGTAGCGGCTCTAGGGACTTCGGGTTTAACAGGTCGCGGGACAATGCTCGGAGTTCCCGGCCCTGATCCGTGCTCATGCGGAACGCAGTGTCGGGGCCGACAACAACGCTTCGTTACAGTACAACAGGGACCTGTTTATGCGAAGGCCTCTACGTTCGTAAGAGGCTGATTATGAAAAGATAGGGGGAAACCCTATTTCTTTCCTCTGTGAAATCCAAGTACACGGGCCGTCGATGATTGCGTTTATGGTCTCAGTCCGGCTTTCATCAGATTCGATGATCTTGGATCTGGAATTGCTTTCATGTGCTGCTGGATGACGGAAGGAGCCAATGCGAAAAATGGCAAACGGGCTCGATGCTTAACTAGCGCATCCTTGGCGGCGTTCAAGACCTGCTGTGTATTGCATCTCTAGCATGACACTCGTGCTGGACACGCAGCCGATAACGAATTATCTTCCATGGTTACTTGGGCGCTTGTTGTCGTTGTCAAAGAATGTTGCACTACGGAGTCGCGCTGCTTGTAGGGGTCCATTTGGTGGGATAGTGCTCCTCGCGACCCGGCCACAGAACTCCGAGTGCTAAAATTCTCCCAAAACGGAAGTCGCCAAGCGGATGCCGGTTAGTTAGTGGGAACCCATGATTTGGAAGGTACGTCCTTGAGCCCCATCGATTTTATTTGTGTTGTCACTTGTGGTAGACCTCCCCAAAACCCTACCACGGTCGTATTTCCGTAAGCTTTTCCCTTGCCGTCAGCGTTTCACGGTTGTTGGAATTGGTCAGGGCTGAAATGAAGGATCAACGGGCCTGGAAGAGTGGAATCCATTGACTCTGCAAGCAACTCAACAAGTCAAGAGCCGAGATTGCGGCGCCATGGGCTTGGAACGGCTTAAGAGGTGCCGATCCCTCGGCGAGCCTCCGAAGAAAAAGAAAAACCACCTTAGCGTACACAACCTGCTCGGACCCTCATCCATTTCCTTGGGATTCACTCGGACTTCTGATGCTGACAATACACACGTGTAGTGTACATCCATTAATACGCAGCTCAAAGATCCACCCATGCTCGCAAGGAACGGCCGACCTCCATTTTTCCATCGCTTCCCCTTAGCGACAAGGTGCTCACATTCAGAGAACGGGAAAGGAAATCGAGAAAAAGGAGGGGTTTGCTCCAGCAAGGCCTTTTGCTAGCCTCCACTGGCTCGGTTCGCCGGAAATATGCAACAGCCCGGAGGCAACTCCTGCAGCTCTTCAACCACCACCAACCACCGACAAGTCGACCGACTCGGCACCGTACCGCGTGCAGCCCGCGTGAACTCTGATGTGACGATCCGAGCTGCCGGGAATATGGACCCGTGGTTATGGGTGTGGGTTACAGGGATGTAACGCCCCCTGTCCAGGCTTCTTCAGTTGAATCAGTTGTGTGGTGTCACTGGGGTGTGTGTGGTTTGGGTGGGTGTGGGTCGAGAAATGACCGCCCGCGCGGGTTGTGATCCCCCCAAAGCTGCCACCTTCGGCATTCCACCCAGACCACTGGGTCTCCAGGGCCGTTCACCACGTCCCCGGGTCGTCTGTCCCCCAAGGGGGGCGGGTCATTCGCTCCCCAAAGCAAACCCCGAGCGTAAAGCCGCAAGCATCGGTACCTTTGACCCAAGCTGCCGGGTTTTGTGTTCCCATCGCGTGGTCCTGGGAGAGGGGGCCAGCCAATTTTTGAAGGTCATCTCGGGCCGATCTCTCCCTTTTTTCTTACTCCCTTCTTCTCTCACCCTTCCGCTTCCCCAGTCTTGTAATAATTACCTACTCTCTTCCTTCTTGCTTCCTTCTCCCGTGATTTTCATCTTTCGTCGTCGTGGCCGACCTTTGCTCCCTCGCCCTCCACGCAACTAACATCGCCCCCATCGGTGGACGAAGCACCACGACTGCTCCGTGCAGCATTCCTCAGCATGGCTTCACGACCGACAGATCAAACACTGGATAATTATGAATTTACGTTCGAGTCCTACCTGAATAACTCGGCGCGGATCGAGCCTGATGTATGTCATCGTCGTGCGGTCTCCTCGAAACCAGAGGTCGTATTTGCTTAATCCACTAACAACACAACACAACTAGTCCGATGAGTACGATGCATAGTACGTCCTTAGTCAACCACGCGTTTAGTTCCCCAGCACTTCCCAGCTAACGGCTCCCAGTGACTCGAGATCCATCTCGGAAAGCATAAACACCTTCCAAACCGAGTTCGGGAGGACGTATCACTCTTACCGAGCCGGATGTGTGTCCTTCCCCATCATCCCAGTCGCCCGCCCGTCCTCTTCAAAAACCGTACTAATTATAGCTTGACCAGCTTACCTCTACCCCAATGATGACACAGAAAATAACCGCGCGGAAGAGCAGTACATGATCATGAAGGAAGCCATGGACGGGCGGCTGCACCTTGCCCCCTTCTCCCGCGCCAATCCTCCTCGGAAGGTCTTGGATATCGCTACCGGCACGGGCCTCTGGGCCATCGAAATGGGTGACTTGTATCCCGAAGCGGAGATCATTGGGACAGATCTATCACCCATTCAACCTGATTTTGTTCCTCCAAATGTGCACTTTTTTGTAGAAGACTCGTATGCTTCCCCCCTCTCCCATCACGCTCTTATTATTATCCGGCATACTAACACACCTCGCGGTTTCACAGATCTGAAGATTGGTATGGCTCTGCTTCTCATTCCGGGCGAGACCGAGACCTCAACAATAAGTTACTAATTTAACCCAGGTTTTACCCTCCCGAATTCGATTTCATTCACACCCGTGTCACCATCGGCTGCTGGTCCGACATGAAAAAACAAATTCTCCAACGTGCCTTTGACCACCTCCGGCCCGGTGGCTGGTTCGAGTCTCAGGAAATCCCTGTCGGGATCGACTGTGACGACGGCACGCTAACTGACAACTACGGCTGGGCGCGCTGGGTGAGGGAGTTCCGGGCGGGCTCTCGCATCGCCAACCGTCAGGTGGACAATGGCCCGCAGATCAAAGAGTGGATGTGCGAGATTGGGTTTGTCGACGTGCACGAGGTCGTCATCAAAATTCCGATGAATGGGTGGCCGAAGAATTTGAGGCTGAAGCAGCTCGGGATGATGTGGCAGAGGATATTGCTGGAGGGGGTTAGTGGGTTTAGTTTGCGCACGTTTAATCGGTCGTTGAATCAGACTGTGGAGGAGATTGAGGTAAGTTTTGAAGAGAGAGTGAGGTGTGGGGAAGGGAAACTTGGAGAGGTTGATGCTGATACTGAGACTGCGCTTTTTTTTCCTACTAGGTTTTACTTGTCGACGTACGGAAGAGTTTGCTCGACCGCTCAGTACATGCATACCACAGGCTATACGTCGTGTGCGGCCGGAAACCGGAGGCGGCGTAGTAGTCTTCGATGGCCTGGAGTGTCATGGTCGTTCGAAATACACGGCTAGCGGATCGGCCTTGAGGCAATCACCCGGCCTCTCCTCGATAGGTGCTGGGCGACCTCCCATTTGTTTGGGCTTTGCGCTGAATCTACAGAAGCCGGATCGGCAATACCAACACCTCGGTTTTTTACGACCATAAAAACCATCGTCGAAGAAACAAAGCGCCGAGGCTCCTGTTTCCGGCATCAAATCTCGGAGGACCGCGATTTTATAATCAAGAATGGAACTGGCTGTGATGGTACAGCGTAGGGGATGGCCAGGATAAAGAGCACGGCCTGTAGTGGTTAGCTGCAGTCCCAACTGGAGCGGTGTGACTGTGGAGAGTTGAAGCTAGGAGGAGGAGGAAGAAGACGGTTTGCTTTCAGGTGTCGATGGGCTGTTTTTGTTTCTGTTACTTGCATGCATGACGGGTTCCTTTCTAGCGAGGCGTTTTTGCAGCATGGTAAAGGAGGAACTCTATCGGAGTCATGACTTGATGAGAAGTGGTGATGAGGCGGGGGGGCGAGGGAGTCGTGAAGAATGAGGCTTGTGGGCTTAGAAAGGGCCTAAACGAGCATCCGGAAGAGGTGTTTGAAGGATTAAGGCTCTTTGGCTGAGCCTCCCCAACTTAAGGGGCCAGCTGGTTGGCCTGGTATTGAATGGTAACTGAATCTCACCCTTTGAAGAGGAGAAGCCGTCCGGTCGTTGACTGTATTTTTTGAGATTGGCTCGAGTGACGTATTAAAAACGATATCCAGATACTAGTGGGCCAAGTGAACGTGGACCGCTCAGTTTTACTGCACAACGCGTTAAGTCCAAGATGATATCAGTCAGACCACATCGCGATAACGGTATCCAGGTCCCCAAACCGTTCCTCCCCCGTGCGGAGAGGAGTGGATAACCGTGCGGAAGTTGCGGAGCACAAGCGTCCCGCCAGGCGTTCGGACCCCCCTGATGTCATCAAGTATATATAGTATATATCTAGGTGCTTAACTCTTTTGCACTCTTCGAAACATTTCTGCCCGATAATTTCTTTCCCCAAACCAACTTTCTTTGTGTCTGACCACGCCCACATCATTGCACAACCCAAATATACGACCGGTACTGATAACGATCCTTACCTCAACGCCTTATGTTCCGAATTGGAAGTGGCACCATCTAGATGGGAATTGACGCGTCTCCTGTATTCCATATTGCAAGATAGAGCCGAGCACCGGTCAAACTTACACCGCCAACAACGACCCGACGACAAACCGAACCTGGTTTCTCAGTGCCCTCGTTGCGGCGCGGACCTCGGCCATTTGCAGCAGCCTAGACCAGAGGACCCGGTAGAGGCTGCTGCTGCTCCTACTCATCATCCGAATGCCCGCCGGGAAAGTAACGAGCCCGCAACATCAGAGGTCGCCGCCGACCATGACGGGTTCGAGCAATGGATAGACGTCCCTAACAAGACCGACTTGACGCTGGAGGCGGGGGCGCCCCATCCGCGCACTTTACGTCCGGATGTGAAGCGTGATCGCGGATGGCTGGATACGGTTGCCAGCCTGTTCGGGTACGAATGGGCGGCTGGGAAGGAGAAGGAGAAGGAGAAGGAGACGGAAAAGGAGAAGGAAAAGGAGTTGTGAGACTACCGTAGATATTCAGGGTGTATATCTGGGCTTCAGGTTATCACCACTACAAAAACTATATAACAGCTAATGTAAGGCATATAGTCTGGGAGATACTATAAACTCTGTTTCTTTGATAAGAAGATAAGCTAGCTCGAAGAGGGTCAAGAACCTAGCGTTCAGACTTGTTACATCATCAAGTCTGTACAAGACACATATAAGTATATATATACAGCTTTGCCCGAGTGTAGTCGCCCCGCAGTCTGGTCCAACGGCTGCCTGATCATTTCTTCCCCTAGGTGTACCAACCTTTTTTCGTGCCTCACCGCGCTCCCATCATGACACAACTTGAATATCCGGATATCGATTGCAGAGAGTGTCGTTTAATCTCTTTCCGTGCCAAAACGGAAGAGATAATGGATAGCGCCAAGTCGCGCTCAAACATACACCGCCACCAACGGCCCGACGACAACCGGAACCAGGTTTTGCATTGCCCTCATTGCGGCGCGAACCTCGACTATTTACAGCAGCCCATACCGGAGGGCGCGATAGAGGCTGCTTCTGCTCCTCATCATCCTAATTCCTCCCGGGAAGGTAACGAGCCCGACACGCCAGGGAGCTTCGCTGAACAGGACAAGCTCAAACAACTGATATGCGCACCCAACAAAACCGACACGACAACGGGAGTTCCCCATCTGCGCACGTTGCGTCCGGATGTGCTGGACAAAGCCCAAGCGGCAAAGGACGACCACAACAACAAGGCCTTGACACGGGTGGCCACCAAGATGTACATCGCCATGTGTCTCGCAGACGAATACTCCGTCGATAAGCTCCTCAGATCACGACTCCAAGGAAAGCACTATTGGGGCGGACCTCTCCGACCGGAGCACACTGTCAAGTGCGTCGGCGGTATCCTGTATGACCAGGAATGGACGGGCAACCCAAGTCCGAGGTTCATTAAGGAACCCGACCCCACCATTCTGGGCGGCGGCAGCGACACCATCTTATCTCTCTCGCCTTATATCTTTGAGACGATACTTCTCGTGGACTATGGATTCCCACCCTGTCCTATTCGAGTCCCCTGGTGCTGGCCTAGAGAAGATTTTATCGGCCTCGTCTTGACCGAGTTTGAGCCTTTTTGCCGTTTCCTTGTCGCCATAGCTTGTCGCTGGAAAGCCGGTTTTATCCCGCGCCTCGCAGCGTGGGAGAATCTCGCCCGTAGCATGGATGGGTTCCCTCGACCGTCATCACTTGAGATACAAGATGCTGCTACTCTCATGTATTACTACATTACCCGCTACAAGCCAGTCGACAGCAAGTCCGCGAAGCAGGGGTGGTCAGGATATACCGGGGTGTTACAGGAGATGATCAGAGAGGTTCCTCGGCGAGGTACTGATCGTCTAGCCCGAAAATTGTCGTTGGACATCAATGTTCTCATCCCAGAGTACGTCACAAATCGAGAAATTCGGGATTTTATGTTGTACAAAGCTAGGCGTCTTGCACAGGAGTACCAGGTATCAATAATGAACGCGAAGCGTGGCGGCGGATGGTTGGATACTGTGACGAATCTGTTCTCGTTCAGTCGAGCGGCTGGGAAGGGAGAGGGAAAGGAAAAGAAATTGTAAGACCACCTGGGATGTTATAGGTGCGTGCGTGGGCTTCAGGTCATCACTACTATAACTACATAAGAACTAATGTACGAATATGGCAGGCGGCGGCTTCCTATATACATTCCCATAATTCTCCTGTTCTCTCAAGCGCAGACCCAGCCACCGACGTTGGTGGCATGTGGCCCAATGTTGAGACACCGCGAATGGCGGATAATTGCTTCGACATGACGGTTTAGTGCCGGCTAGCCGATCCGCCGTTGACCTGATTTCTGGCGGGAAAGGTCTAGAGTGGTAAGACGCCGGTTCCCGTATGACGGTGAGGTGTCAGCCTCAACGGCGGAGCGCGGAATAACGGTTGTTGTCGATGAGCTTAACTGTATTGTTCTGAAATACTGAAAAGCTGGAGGGGATATCGACGGGATGCGTCATCGATGGAACTTGAGGATGATGGGCGTCTGGCGTGGACGGGCCTTTTTTAAAGATGGACTCCGTCAGGAAATAAGCCGTCGTGGAGCAGGACGAGAGCGTTGGTTTTGTTGTGTAAGGATGCGGGGCCCTTGTCATGGGCTGCGAGATTGGTCTCGAATGAACGACCAATTCGACATTGTTGCCGGGCTTCTGCTAACGTTGACTTCAGTTTGTTAGAGATTCTCAAACCGGGAGACAGGAGAGAGCCCCGAGGCAAGGGGTTTGGGGTCAGTTACCTTTGCATGATGCCAGGGCATGAGATTGTGCCTCTTCTTAGCTCATCAGTAGTGAAGTCTGATGAGGAACACCCATCCACGACGGTGACGTGAGAGGCTTCGGATGGGATAAGAATATTGCCAAAATGGGTAACGCAAAGAGACGAAAAAAAATAAACCCCTCCATACCTCCTCCCATTACCCCCCGCCTCTAAAATAAAAATAAAAATTAAGAAAGCATCGCCGCCACCGCCTCGTCCGCCGCCGTCACCGCGGCTTTCTTCGCGGCCGCCAGCACGGGATCTGGCACCCCCGCCTCAAAGGCGACCCCCAACGCCGCCGCCACTGCCACCTTCACGGCGCGAAATCTGGGAAGAATTAGTGAGAAAACCATGCGAAAAGGGGCAAATACGTACGCGAGCCTCAAGGGAGTCCTCAGAACCCATGAGATCGTCAAGATCATCCTTTGTGACTGCATCACACGTCCACCACCGGCTTCACCGCCGCTTACTTTGCGGCGGCCGCCACCACCTTTGCCGCGGCCGCCACCACCTTTGCCGCGGCCTCCACCAGCGCGTCATCCGGCGTGGCCTCCGGCGCGGGATCCGGCGTGGGATCCGGGTCCCCCACCTCGACCGCGGGCGCTTCCACGTCCACGGCCGGAGCCGGAGCCGGAGCCGGAGGGGGTTTAGTCCTCCCCATCACCGTCACCACCACCGGTCGCAAACTCGCTGGCTCCGCCCCTGGGCTCCTCTCCACCCTCTCTGCCAGCGAGATCACAAGACGGCCGAAGAACTGGGAGAGTTCGAGCCCAGGGGCCCGACCCTCACCGGCACCCGGCCGCTCGTCATCTCGCTGGCTGGTGGCGTCCCCTTCACCGGCTGAAGCCCACCACAACCTCACCACCCTCCCAGCCCAGCGAACGACCAAGACGATGAACACAACGACGCCAATAAAGGAGTCGGCGACTCCTTCCTTCATAGAAGTGCCTATGGCGCCGATAGCGATTCCCTTGACTATGTAATAGGGGCGTTAATTTATAGCTTCTTACAAAAAGGTGCGAGCCGAAGCTGGGAAGAATGTTTTCTTAGTGACAGGCGATGAGAGAAAAGCTTGACATACCGAATTCCATGGTGTTTGTGCTGAAGAAAAAAGAGAAATCTCATATTGATAGTTGCGAAGAAAGAAGCGAGAATCTCATAATGGTTTTGAGAAAACAAAAACGAGTTTATTGTCTTGATGATTCCAAAGAAAAAAGGAAAATCTCATCATGGGTTGGATAAGAAAGAGTATTTTATTTTGATGGTTCTGGGGAAGGAAAAAAGAGCTTTCTGTTTGGATGGTTTCGAGGAAAAAAAGAAGAGGAAGGGAAACGGGGCACACTCGTATATAAATCCATCTTTGGATGGGTAAATTAGGTACCTAGGCTGTTTCCGTTGGGAAAGTGCCATACGGGTCTGTCGGGTCTAAGAGGAAGGCACATACATCTAAGAGTCCAACCCATTGGTAACTCGCACCTCCCATATGTAAGGGAACCTCTTTCCTTGTGGAATAGCAACCCATCGGTAGGCAGGTGGGATGTCAAAAGCACAGGTAGCGCCATACCTATTCAGGTAGCCCGTTACGCGTCCCTTGAGAAACCGTACCCGTTGATTATGTCTCTAGAAATTAGTTGAAGGTGAAGGGCATGATGTTGATAGGAGTTGTTGAGTTACTGGGAACTGGAATCTCGAATTCGGGTGACATGCCCTTGAGATTCACCAAGAACACATCTCCCCTTAAACTGTAGCCGATCACCTACACCTGTTCCGCCGACCTTGACCAAACCAACCGGCCCGGCGCTTGATGCACCTCAATGTGGATAAGCTGGAACTCCTATTGGTAATTGTCAAAGGCCGCAAGGGCTGGGGTTGGCGGACGCCGGCGAAGCCTGTGTAATTATAACCTTACCACAATCCCGTCACATAGGGATCTGGACGCTCTGGAGGACCCGACATGTACATACGAAGGAGAGTGGGCCTTACCTTTCCGCCGCTGTTACTGGCGCCGTTTATCGCCGTTACATAGGTGGCCACAGACTTGGAACATGAACAACTTGTTCAGGAAGACATCGGGAGAGTTTGCCGTTGCGTTGTGGACGTTGGCATTCTAGTGCCACAGGGTGGCTGCACGGCGTTGTGGCGCCGGCCCTGGCGCTTCAGGGCCCGTGCGCATAACGTTATGCTTCCATTGCGGGTCGCCAGAGTTTCCGCCGGGGAAAGTTTCTGGACGGTTGGAACAGTTTTAAACTGCTTGTCATTTTCCCCTCCATAAAAACGAAGCACTGACTGGAGTATGGAATCAATAGCTAAATAGGAGATAGGAGGAAGCATGGAAGCGCCTTCCCGTCTCGTGAGTGGCCCACAGGTGGTTCTCCACAACCCGGTGACAGCTTGTCGGAATGGACTGTGCCGGGCTGCTGCATGTCTTCAGGAGCACCAAAATGGGAAGGAACCTCCTGAAAAGCGTGGTTGTCCTGTGGTAACGTTAGGGGTGATTGGGCTGCACGCTCGCTTTTTGCAAAACTGGGGCTGCTCCTGAAAGCATGCTCGCTTCTTTTTTCGCTGTCTGGCCATTTCCTTACTGGGAAACTCGCAGCAGCTCGCCGACAGCCGAACTCGAGAGCTGGGAAAGGTTTCGGCCAACAACAAGCAAAGGGCTTAACGGCAAGGCGCTGTTGGGGTTTACACAGGAGCTAGCCACCTAACTATTGGGTCGAGAGTTCGCCAGCTGTTCGCAAGTTGACGAGACCCAACCCAGCCTTCTCTGGTCTTCCCCCGGTTTCAAGACCCCTGCTGGGAATCCTGGTCGCTTTGGTTGTGAGTGGGCAAAGTCGCGTGGGTTCGGTGGCCCGCCCCAAACCTCCGATCTTACACAAGCCACCTCGAACTTTTGTGTCGTTCCCTCGACTTTCCGGCACCATCTCGAGGACGGGTTGAACCACACACACATACGGCCTGTACGCACCATGACTTCGGCATTGAGCAAGCGCCAGCAGGCGCGCAACGAAAAGAACCTGCAGGACCTTCTGCGCAATGTTGCCGGCAATAGCTTTTGCGCAGACTGTCAAGCGCGGAATCCTGGTACGTGAATTGGTCCCCCGTGTCCCCCCAATGACCTCCTGACAAAATAATCGTGGAACTAACGGAGCCTTGCTATCAGCTTGGGCATCATGGAGCGTGCGTTCCCCTCCACCCCATTCCTTCCGGCCGTCGCTTTTGGACTCCCCCGAATCGAGCCGCACCGACCTGCGATTTCGTATCTCCTGCATGCAATCAGCAGACAAAAGTTCCAAGAATGGGCGCTAACTCGTGGGGGGGAATTGTAGTTGGGCATCTTCCTGTGCATGCGATGCGCCACCATCCACCGCAAATTGGGCACCCACGTGTCCAAGGTGAAGTCGCTGAGCATGGACAGCTGGACCAACGAACAGGTCGACGTACGTGCCCAGTGGTTCCCCGGGTCGGCCCGCGCGCCCAGCTAACACCCGCATAGAATATGAGGAAAGTCGGCAACACCGTGTCAAACAAGCTGTACAACCCTGACAACAAGAAACCGCCCGTGCCGATCGATGCTGACGAAGTCGACGGCGCTATGGAGCGATTCATTCGACAAAAGTACATCGCTCGCACCCTGTCGGTGGGAAAGAAACGTCCCGGCGCCGATTCAGATGAGACCCCGCCTCCGCTTCCCCCGAAAACACCGAGCCGATTCGGCCTCCGGTCGGCCTCGTCCATATTCCCTCTCGGGTCGAAGTCAAAGAAGGCGGCCGCGGCCGAGCCTACCAGCCCCCGCGATGCGTACCCCGCGGAGCCGCCTCTCCGGAGCCAATCGTCGGGTGGATTCGGTGTCAGCGTCGACCGAGACCGATCGAATGGGGACGACCTGGAACAGAAGGTTGCCAAGCTCCGAGACATGGGCTTTATGGACGACAAGAAGAGCGCTATGGTACTGAAGGGAGTCGGCGGGAGCCTGGAAAAGGCGGTGGAGAGTTTGATACGGCTTGGGGAAGGTGGTGGAAGAACGCCAACGCAGCTCACACCAGCACCTGGAAGGGCAGCTACGATGCCAATATCCCGAAGTTTGACGCCGGGGGCACTCGCCGACACAGGCCGCGCTCGGCCAGTCAGTCCCGCGAGCACGAATCCCTTCGATATGCTCGACACACCTCCTCCGCCCCAGCCGCTGTCCTCCCAGTCGACTGGGACTCTGCAGACCAAGAACCCGTACCTGTCGACGAACCCGTTCGGGCCCCCGCAGCAGGGCCAGTCAGCTCTGGATCTCGCGTTCCAAAACATGAATCTTGCGCCACCATCACAACCGTTGTTCCCGCATCACACGGGCGGTTTGGTGCAACAACCAAACGGCCAGGTGATGTACCAGCAGCCCGCCAGCGGTCCCTTAACCGCTCCACTGCCTGCTGCAACACAAGGGTACTACGACGCACCAGTCAACGGAAGCCAAACCTACCCACAGCCTCTGCAACCGACGCACACTGGCTTCAACCCGTTCTTCCAGTCCCAGCCCCAGCAGCAACAGCAACAGCATCATCATCAGCAGCAGCAGCAGCAACAAGCGTTGTCTGTGAACACGGCGCAGTTTGGGGGGAATATCACCAGCAACCCGTTTACACGGTCACCCACGAGGATCCAGTCGCCCACTCTCTCCCAGATCCCCGAGCAAACCCAGCAAAACTTCTACACCCAACCAACGCCGACCGCACAGCCAGCGCAGCAACCACCGGCAACGAATCCGTTTTTCAACCAGTTGACACCTCCCGCGCAGCCGTTCTCCGGGCAGATGCAGATACCGCAGCAGACAGGTCTAAACCCACAGGTCAACGGGTTCCTACCACCGAACCACCCGCAGTACCAACAGTACCAGCAATACCAGCAGTACCAACCCCCACGCCAGGACAAAGCGTCGATCATGGCACTGTACAACATGGCCCCATCCGCCCCGAGCCAAAACCCGTTCCCGACCCAGGTCGCAAACCAGGTCACGCCCGCTCAGACTCCGAACTCGCCATTCCCACCTCAATCACTACCACAGCAGCAGGGTTACCCTCAACAACCCCCACAACAGGCCCAACCGGTCCAACAACAACAGCCACTAACCGCCCAACCAACCGCGCTAACAAGCAAGAACCCATTCATGCTAAATTCCGGAGGCTCTGCTGCCACGGCAGTAGCATCGGGAGGTGGTGTGCCACTGCAGCCGCCACCACCGCAGCCGACTAAACAGCATAACGTCAGTCGGGAGAGTGTCATGGCATTGGGGTTGGATTGGTCGAATGGGCGGCATAGTCCGGATGCGTTTGCTAGTTTGAGTGCGAGGGATACACGATAATTCTTTTGGGGGGGGGGGATCTGGGGGGTGTGTGAGGAAGTATGTGGTGCAGCGTCGTAAATACGGGATGTGTGAGGGCGATGGTCTGGAATGTAGGCAGGGGCTTTATGGACGGGGATAGGATTCAGGAAAGAGGGTCTGGAGGAGTTTGATGATTGGTTTGTAGGTTGGGGGGTGCATCCGCTCGCTCGCTCGTTGTATATAAGATAGTGTTGTGGTGCCTGGCGGTGCGTTGCGGTGTGTTGTGGTGTGCTGTGTTGTGGCTCGGGGCATTGAGCGCAAGGTCAGGGTTTTGTTTTCTCTTTTGTCATTTTCTGTGGGTATATAACTAGGGATGGATGGGTAGCCAGCATGCAGTGTGAGGTCGTGTATCTAGGTGTTTGAGGTTGTGTAGTTAAGGAGGGTTAATTCAATGTGTTGTGGTGGATTTTTGGAGAATCTCAGTTCTTCCTGCTTAGTCTACGTAGGTACTGTACTTGACCGATGGAGGTGATGATCTTGGAAAACTTGGCCAGGGCATGTTGCTCGAGGAATGTAACCTACTCGCCCGAAGTGAAGTGGTGGTGCCTGTTTTGGAGAGAATTCACCTAGTGATGATGTGTTCAGAACTAGCCTGACCGTTGCAGCTGGGTGTGAAGAAACCGCTGGCGGGTTGGTTCATTCCGGATATTACCATATTAGTGCATCTCTCTGAAGGGCATTTGAGACACGATGGTGGGCTGAGGGTTTCAAGCTGCTGCGTAACTTAGCAACGACTTTTGCTGCCTTTTTAAAACACGTAACTTCTTTTGTTACGGGCAACGTTGAGAGACTTCTGTCTCATACCCACATCAGCTTTCCGACCTGACCATTGGTAGTAACTTACCCCTATCCCAGGTCGGACTTTACATGCTCCTCCACTCAAAGCACCCCAGCCCTTCCTTTTTATATTCCAGGTATATCACCGACCAACGCACCTCGGTCACCGAGTTTTCATCCCCTCGAACGGAAACGGGAACGGATTGGTTGGATTGGATATCCGTCTCCGGAGGAGTTTTGAGTGCAGAAAGGTAGCAGGCGGCTCGGCGGTGAAGTTCCGTTTACAGTTAGCCATTTTACCCCACGCCGCTGCGGTGCATCTCAGCCCTACGCAGAGCACACAGTGCCATAAGGTACTGAAGTTAATTAAATTAATGAACGTTAGGGGTCCTATTTCCCGATCACGCGATGATGCGTCTTTCGAGGAGCGCGGGCTCTCGAGTTTTGTCTTGCCTCGCCTTGCTATTGTCTTCATTCCCCTTCGGGTATTAAAATCCTCGTTGTACTTCATACAAAGTCAATTTCTCGTCCACCCATCCTTCCCCGCACGTCAGGAAGGTCATTGTTGGTGACACCGTCCACTAACTAAGCGCGTGGTCGGTCACTGGAAATTGAAATGAGCAACATCGGGTATACTGTGCGGCGCAGCAGGCAGCAAACTGCTGATTAGCTGCATGAAGGCTTCCGCTCTGGCGCGTGGACTCTGGGAGGACTTGCTTGGGCCGGCTCGGTCAGCCAATGGCGGGGTTGGTTGAGTGCTTACCGTGGGACGGAAATGCTGGAAATGCTGCGGGTGATTGGGGGCTGGACAGGTACAGGGGTTTTTGTGAGAGGTGAGTCGAAGGTTGGAGGAGGGTGAAGAATGGGTGAGGGGTTGGTTTTTGTACTTATTTCGAGTGTTTGCCTGCCTGGAGTTTTGAGAATATTTTGAGAGTGGGATTCTGTTTTTTTGAAGGGAGTTATCTTTTTTGGGATACTTCCCGGCTCACCCACGTACCATTATCCCGTCGTTATATTGACAACTACACGCGCACACGCACACGCACACGCAACTGATCTCACAATGTCAGAAGTCAGCGGCCCCGATATCCCCGACACCCCGGGCACCCCAAGCGGCGCCGATGGCCCTGGCGGTCCCGATGGCCCCGATGGTCCTGATGACTCCGTTGGTGGCCCGGTAGGCGAGTCCCTGATGAAGACGTTGCTCGAGGAGACTCGAATCCCCGCGCAGCGCAACATTGACCAGTTCTGGGACCGGTTCATCACGCGAGCTCCGGGAAAGGGTAAGTGAACTCTCAACACCCTCCCTCAACCAAACAACCCAACTGTAAAACTAACAAACACACCCAGCAACAACACTCCTCCCCCAAAACGACCTCACCATCCGGCCTCCTCCCACCCCGCGCAGCCCTGCTAAAGCTGTGCCCAAGACCGTCCCCGGGCCCCCCACCTCCCACCCCCGCTCCGTAACAGCCTCCTACAACGAAGCCGCCGCCCACTGCCGCTTCAAAGTCGCTCAAATCGTAGCCGAGTGCCGGCGGCGCAACCAGCGCTACCGCGACCCGCATTTCGATCTGGATTTTGATTTGAGGTCCAATACGCGCGACTGTTTGGAGGCGTTGAGTGGATGGGCGGATGATTATCGGGTTGAGGATCCTAGGAGGTCTCGGTCTGGGTCTACGGGTGGGGGGGATAACAAGGGGAGTGAAGGGGGGAATGTGAGGAGGATGGGGTTTATCAGGGGGAGGGGTGGTGGTGTTCGGGGAGAAGGAGATGGGGGAGAAGGAGAAGAAGGGAAAGAGGACGAGCAGCTGCCGCGGTTTCATCGGCCGTGGCCGGGGAGCGAGTTCAAGCCGCGGTCGGTGAAGAGGGTGGGGGAGATATTTGAGGAGCCGCGGTTTTTTATTGACGGGCCGACGGCGAATGATGTGAGGCAGGGAAGGGATGGGGATTGTTGGTTGATGGCGGCGTTGTGTACGCTGGGGAACAAGCCGAGTTTGATTGAGAGGGTGTGTGTGGCGAGGGATGAGGCGGTGGGGGTGTATGGGTTTGTGTTTTGTAGGGATGGGGAGTGGGTTAGTGAGATTATTGATGATCATGTGAGTTTCTTTTCTTCTTAAGTTTTCTTCTTTTCTTTCCCCCCTTTTTTATTTATTTATTTATTTATCTCGGTGAGATGAGATCCTGGACTAACGACAGAAGCTCTACCTGGTCAAACCCGACTACGACGAGGCGCGCATAGGCCAAATCCGCAACGTGGAGCGGTTCGTGTGGGAGGACATGACGCACGCCGATTCGGAGGACAAGTACCGGCGCATCTTCCAGTCCGGCAGCAGCGCGCTGTACTTTGCGCAGTGCGCCCACGACAACGAGACCTGGCTGCCGCTGCTCGAGAAGGCGTACGCTAAAGCCCACGGGGACTATGCCGCTATTGACGGGGGGTTTACGGGTGAGGGCATTGAGGATTTGACGGGGGGTGTTACGTCGGAGATTTTTACGGCGGATATTTTGGATACTGTGAGTTTTTCTTTGTTTTTTTGCCGTTTTAGAAAGGGGTTGATGAAGTAAGGGGGTAAGAAGTGCACTGTCTAACTGACTCGGTAGGAACGCTTCTGGGAGGAGCTCAAGCAGGTCAATGAGGAGTTTCTGTTTGGCTGCTTTACGGGTCTCTGGTATGTTCATTCTGTCATTCTGGTCGTCGTGTTATTGCTAAGCTAACATGTGTTAGGGGCCTCGGCTACGGCGAGCGCAAGGGCATCCAGGAGGGTCACGCGTACTCGGTCATGCGTGCGGTCGAGATGGACGGCCAGCGACTCTTGCTGCTGAAGAATCCGTGGGGCAAGGTCGAGTGGACTGGCCCGTGGAGTATACCCCCCCTTTTTTTTTCCTTCTTTATTTCGACTTTTATTTATTTTTTATTTCTTTTATTTTGATCTGTAACCCCAACTGACACGTCCATGTACACGAAAAGGCGACGGCTCAAAAGAATGGACCCCCGACTGGCTCTCCAAACTAAACCACACCTTCGGCGACGACGGCGCCTTCTGGATCTCCTACAAAGACCTCCTCCGCAAATTCCAATGCTTCGACCGCACCCGCCTCTTCAGCGCCAACTGGAAGGTCGCCTCCCTCTGGACCACCCTCAACGTCCCCTGGGCCCTCGAATACCACGACACCAAGTTCACCTTCACCCTCGCCCGCCCGGGACCCGTCGTCATCGTCTTTTCCCAACTCGACGAGCGCTATTTCTACGGTCTTGAAGGGCCCTACCTTTTTGAGTTGGCTTTCCGTCTGCACCGCGCTGGGGAGGAGGATTATTTGGTCAGGACTTATGCGACGTATGCTATGCGGCGGTCGTGTAATGCTGAGTTGGAGCTGGAGGCGGGCGAGTACACGGTGGCCATTAAAATCGAGGCGTTTCGTTTGCGGGGCAGGTTGCCGGCTGAGACGGTGGTCAAGTACAACGCGCGGAACCGGCGGGAGAAGCTGTTGAGGGTCGGGAGAGCGTATGATCTGGCGCATGCGAAGGCGAGGGTGGTGGAGACGGCGGAGGAGAAGGCCGCGAGGGAAAAGTATTTTCGGTGGAGGCGGGATACGAGAAAGGAGGCGCTGCGGTCGGCGCATGATGCGAAGGTGCAGAGGGATCATTATTTTAGGAGGAAGGAGTGGTTGGCGAAGATGAAGGATGTGGAGTGGCAGAGGGAGGTGAAGAAGAAGCGGGAGGAGAGGTGGTTGGCGAAGAGGGAGGAGAGGCGGAGAGTTAAGGAGGAGGCCCAGAAGAACGAGGAAGAGAAGGAGGAGAACAGAGAGAAGAAGGAGAACAAGGAGAAGCAGGAGGAGAAGCAGGAGGAGAAGAAGGAGGAGAAGAAGGAGGAGAAGGGGGAGGATGAAAAAGAAGAGAAAAAGGAAGAGAAGAAGACAGAAGAACCCCCAACAGAGGCCCTAGATTCCGACAAACTAACCGATACCAAAGCCGACACCAAAGCCGACACCAAAGCCGACACCAAAACCGTGGAATCCGCATCCACCGAACAAAGCAACCCAGGAAACCGTCCTCTTCCCCACCGCGGACCCCCATCAGCAGCACCAGCAGAAGACGAAGAAGAGGAACAAGGCCACCCACACCCACGCCCCGGGTTGCACGGCCACCGCTGGTCCGGAGGCCGCATAAGTTCCCGCCTCCTCCGTGGCCTGCGAGGTGGAAGCCCAAGAGATGGACCCCGCGAGAACAGGCCCGACGAACCGTGGTCAGACGAGGGTGAAGAAGAACACGACGAACGACGCGGACCACCCCGTTTGTACCCCCCGGGACCTCCTCATCCCGGCCCTCCTCATCCCGGCCCTCCTCCTCCCGGTCCTCCTCGCTCCAGCCACGGCCATAACTTCTTCCGCACCCTCCGCCGTGAAC